AGTGGTTATTATCCTTTGGAAGGGGTCAATTATATATGCCTCTGCATTCTTTGAGTAATTAATGTCACTTGTTGAATTGATCAATATGAGCTTGCATTTTTTTTTTATTTGTACCGTCGGGCACAGTGACTAATTCTCTTGTTGAATTGTAGGTATTGTTTTTTTGAGTAGGACAGCTGGCCTAGAGATTTAAAGTTACTTCATACCCAAAGTCAAGCTATGATCAAACCCTTGACCTTTGATTAATGATGAATGAGTCCCTTCCACTTTACCACACTTGACCGATAAGTGCTTATTTGTCTATATTTTCCCCCCTTTCACTAAGCCATTTTGCTTATAGATCATTCCAAATTTCATGAGATTATGATTAAATTGTGTTATTTTGCAAAGAGTTTTAATTTGTTTGAAAACAAATATGAGTATTTTCAGGCATTTTGGTGGACATTGGAGTCAAGTGAAGCGTTTTGGATGCATTAGGAGTCCATGGGAGCCAAGGAGAAGTTAAGAGGATGGACAAAACACTTCCAATGGAGCCTAAGAGTGGTGTATTCAATGGTCTTAGTCATTTGGACAAACCAAAACAAAAGAGGAGCAAAAGATCAAAAAATTGCAATTTTCGCTCATTTTGACCACTGTTCGATAATTTGACCATATCTCAGCCTAGGAATGTCCAAATGAAGTGATTCTTCCACCATTGGAAAGAAGACTCGAAAGGATACAACTTTCATGAAGATCCCAAAGCTTAGTTCTGAAGAAAAAAGAGGTCAAAATCAGCCTGCAAACCGAAGTATCGTTGCAGAGTGACTTTGGACGAGTCGAAAGTTGGCAGAATGGCACGTTTTTCACTCTGTAATTTCTCGACGCGTCGAAACCCCCAGATTTGCAGATTTCTAGCTCGCCCCTGCTCTTATTTAAGTGGGTTTTCACCTATTTCTCCATGGTTTTGGACCATATCCGAACCCTAGTCATTTCCTTTCACTCCCTTTCATATTTTAGTGTTAGATTAGGCTTAGATTTAGGTTTCTTAACACTTTTGAAACTTGTAATCTTGGATTTGAAGCTTGGATTCCAACATTTTAAGATTCTACCATCCAATTTATTTAGAAAAGTTTTATTTCCCTTATCTCTTTATTTTGCAAGATTTACATTTATTACTTGTGTTTTTTTGTTCTTAATGTTATTGAATCATGAGTAGTTGATGTTAGCACATCTGTTCTTGTTTTTATGGTTATTTTGAATCATCACAGTAATTAAGCTCTTTCATTTTGCTTATTTAATACATGTTTTCCTTGCTATTATCATTTAATTATGGTTCGCACTTGTTTTGAATGTTTTACGGTGTTTGTTAGTGTTTTTGAACCATTGTAGGTCAATTCTATGAGCAAGGGAAGTTCAAGGATGAGTTTGGAGCAATTTTGGACAAGTTCAGGACCCAGAGGACTCGACGCGTCGAGAATTTCCAGAAAGGTTTATGATCGAGACCAGCAGGTCTCGACGCGTGGAGAATTGGCTCGACGCGTCGGGCGCAGCAGGTCTCGACGCGTGGAGAATTGGCTCGACGCGTCGGGCGCAGCACGAAGTCGCGAGATATTTGAGTCCAATTTTGTACCAGATTCCTTTTTCGTCTCAACTTTATACCTACTATAAAATCCCTCCTTCCTCAACCCTAAACGACACACCGGGAGATTTTTTAGAGTTCTTTGTAGACAAGAAAGAGAGAAATCAAGAGGCTCAAGTCGTCTTTGGAAGCAAGGAGGAAGCCAGGGAGATTTGGGAGAATCGCTTGGTTAATTCTTGTACTCTTCTGATGATTTGTAATCCTTTATTCATATTTGCTATGTATAATTTAGCCATGCTCGGCTAAATTCTTTAAGGATTTTTGGGTGAATTTGTTTATAAACCTATGTGCCTAGTTCGTTAATTTCTAAATATATTTATGTTTGGTTTTATGATTTGTGTTGCAATCTTGTTTTAATCTGTTGTTGTTGGTAGTTAAAGGCCTAAATTACTAGCTTCACAGTCATGTTTGTGTCACCAATGGGAGTTGGGGCATAAATTAGGGCACACACGATTGCACCTAATGGTTGGTCCTTGGGAAAGGGGAACTTATTAGGGGAAGTTTATTCTAGATTATTGCTCATCGGGAGATGGTAGTAATTAGGAATAATTGAATGCTGATCTTTGATCTTATTGGGTGTTTAAGCCATGGGAGTGGAAATTCACTAGGAATAGAGATTACGGGAGTAATTCGATTTCACTTTGCATTCCCATACAAATCTTAATTCCAAATCAAATATTACAAACGTTAATTGGCACTAGGTGATTAAACATTGTGATCCCAAGAATCCTATTTTGCTCTATTGTCTACAAAACCTTGCTACTTATTTTATTCTGCTTGTTATTTTATGCAATCAATCAACCTTCAAGTTTTGTTCGGACTAGTTTCATATGAGTAACCTAGTAGCTAGTGATTAGTACACCACCTCTCTGTGGTTCGACAACCCGAATACTCCGGGTATTATTTGTTTGCCCCAAATTACAGCAATCAGTAGTTAGTTTATGGACTTGAGTTAGGGTTGTATTACCTATCTTAACGCTTAATTTGTGACTAGTGCAAAAAGAGGAAAGAACTCTAACCTAGGGTTCATATGTTTATGAGGGTATTGTATTTATATCTTGTTAATGTTTGATGTACACATTCATTGTCATATATTTGGAGGATTCCATGCCTCAATGGGAGTTGGGTGATTAATTCGAGCCACCACTTGCATAGACTCGATTTCTTCCTACGAAAATATGAGAAATTGGGAGCTTTAATTTAAATGCTTTGTATGTTTGATGGACTTGGAATTGATACGTCACGAGAGTGGGACAATTTCTTGTTTATTAATCACGAGAGTGGTTCGTAGACTAGGATACCTATGTGCATTCCACTTGATTCATTGGTTATTTGTTCCCCCTAATCCCATAGATTATTAAAGTATCTAGATGATAATGTCCCGTGTTATTTTGTGTTTGTGTTATTTTGTTTAGTTATCGTAGTCTCAACCTTGTTATGAGTTGCTTAGCTTCTTGTTAATTGCATAGTTGTTCGTGATTGCGTGTTACATGCCATAACTCTCAATCCCCTGAGGACGTCATTTGACACCGTACACTCACTATCATTCATTTTTGCTACAACCAACACTCCAGGTTATTTGAGCTTGCATTTGCTACATACATACAATGTTTTTTAATTTATTTTTATTATCATTATTTTATTAAGTTCAATCAAATTCATTAGATCGACGACTGTAGTATACAATCATTTAGTAATCACTAATTAGAAGTCATTCAGTCACTTACTCACTTATAGGATAAAGTTTCCGGTTGGAATAAAAAACAAAAAACAAAAACAAACAAAAACAAAAAAAAAACAAACAAACAAACAAGGAATAATTGTGTAGCTATGTGTTGATCCATCAAGTCAGTCACGTATAGGATAAAGTTTCCGATTGGGATAAAAAAAAAAAAAAAAAAAAAAAAAAAAAAAAAAAGGTATAACCGTGTAGTTATGCGTTGGTCCACCAAGTCGAACATGAATGGAAAATATCTTGAGGTTGAAGAGTACTGATTATGTCTACAATGTAATAATCATGATTAGGTCGTTTTAATCAAAGGGAATAAGTTATGTGATTTATGGCTCACAATCAAGAACAGGTAATTATGCATTAATTATTATCATTATTCTAGAGGCCCAACAGGAACATGAACCACAGAGGCTAGACCGGTGCTCACTGCGCACAAGGAACCCCCCTCACTTTGAGAGGTTGCTCTCACTCTGCCGCTGGTGAGACTCGATCTCTGGTCATTCTTTCAAAGTTTCACCTCTATGACCAGTTGATCTGCCCATGCGGGTAAATTATTATCATTATTTGTAATATTTTTGGAGTACAACTCTGTTATAATGTAATATAAAAATATTGGATGCATCATTTGTATATATAAGTGTTATACAATAGTTGCAAATCACATCGCGTCAATCAAAAGACATATCATATATGTTGTATTGTAAATGCAATTATATTTTAATTTACAATGATCCTTACTAGGCTTTATACAAATAATTACATTAAAATCCTACACACCGGTTAATTATATTCATGTTGAGTGATAACGACGGTTTTCACCATATCCATCAAATATCAAATCACAGTATAGAGTTAATATATCATTCTTTCAAAAGGCTGAACCCAACCCTAAGGACTCCCCACACTCCGACCCGACAGAACCACAGAAGCTAGCCCGGTGCTCATTCCACTAGAGATAACTCTTGTAATATTAAGAATTGATGCAAAGTGGAGTTAAGCACACGTTAAAACTACCTTTTTAAAAGTTAGGTCTATCATTAATTAGTTTAAAAGCTAGGCCTATCATTAATTAGTTGGATTGATATGATTAAGCATAAAGCAAACAAGACAAGGAAAACAAATAACCGGTACTTGTTTGATTCAAGCTAAGACGCCAAATATTGTACTAAGGATTTCGGAATTAAACTAAGGCAAAGGGTAAGTGAGATTCACAAAAGTGTCCAATTACCACTCTCGTGGCAATTCAACTCAAGATTGCCCAAATAAGAACACAAGACATAAATTCTCCTTTAACACCTGAAATACTCTCGTATTGGACATCAAGTGTGTGAATGTGTAGCTAGTGTACAAGCTTTACTCTCGTAGCAACAAACACACTCCAAATAAATAATATATAATTTGGATCCAACAATTATACACAATTTCACAACAGACCCAATTCACACAACAGACCCTAGAACACCCAAATAATCCCTTTATGCAATACAACTCATATAGGCATCAATAGCAAGAAATCAAACCAAATCCTAGTCTCAAAACACTTAGCTACTCATAATATAACAATAGATACACAATATTTAAAGGAGTAATTGAAAGGATAAATGAAAAATAAAGGGAAGAGATGAATAAAATATTATTTAAGTACATAATTTATGTTCATAGGTTTGAATTTCACAACACAAGACACAAAAATTCATAACATAATACATAATTACTAATTTGTTTCAAGTACGGAATTCATACTCATAAAATACAGATTTCATAACACAAGAAATAAAATTCACAATATTTAGAGACATACACATGCACCAGGGTTCACACTGCACTGTGGACCCTGGTCCATGGTATAAGGATTGTTTAACGACCTACGAGTTCAGTAATTGACATAGTATTAATTGATTGATTTCCACCGTTACTTGTAGAATATGAGAATGGAGCATGTGTATTCTCTTGATTGAATATAAATCCTGGTGGTTTAGGACGAGCGAGTTCAATATTATTACTTAACATGAAAATCACTTCTGACATGATTGGTCTGTCATCTGGATATAGTTGAACACACAATAGACCGACATGGATACACCTCAAAACTTCTCGACCATCATCCGAATCCCCTAATGATGAATCCACTATTTCCATTGATCTTTCTTCATTCCATAAATCCCATACCTGAAAATGTGTAACACACATCAATATTTAAGAAAAAAATTGTAAGAACAATGTATATGTTATTAAAGAATTGAAAAATTGTATAGTATCTATAGAGATGCACTTACATCTCCAATTAAATTCAAAGAGTTTTCGTTGCGCTTGTATTTGTTCTTCTTCCCACAAACAATTTCCAACATCAAAACACCGAAACTGAATACATCTGATTTTATAGAAAAGTGACCCTCCATTGCATATTCCGGTGACATATAACCACTATAAAACAATATTTAACATTATAGTCTTAAATGTCAGTATGTTTATGATATTCATACACAATTAGTAAGGAGAAACACTCACTATGTTCCAACTACTCGATTTGTGTTTGCTTCAACCTGTTCTTCTTTAAAAATTCTAGTCATTCCGAAATCCGATATTTTTGGTTGCATGGAGGCATCTAACAAAACATTGCTAGCTTTTAAATCCCTGTGAATGATTTTTAATCTAGAATCTTGATGAAGATATAATATCCCTTGAGCAATTCCCGAGATAATTTCAAAACGCTTTCTCCAATCCAAAGACATCCCCTCTCTATTATCTGCAAAACCATTAAATAAAGTTGTTCATGTAATATTACAAGTATGAGCTAGATGAAGTATTGTTTAGCCTTAGCTGGTGTATATTTACCGAAGATGAAACTGTCGAGGCTTTTGTTAGGCAAGTACTCATACACCAACATCTTTTCCCCTTGTTGAACGCAACATCCTAAAAGCCTCACAAGATTTCTGTGTTGGAGTTTCGCTATTAGCATTACTTCATTTTTGAATTCTACTATCCCTTGAAGTGAAGTTCTTGTGAGTCTTTTGACAGCTAAAAGTTGTCCATTTTGCAACTTACCCTGCACGAACGGGCAATGCTCAATTAATTAGCTATAACTAAATTATTATTGTAAAACTATACTGCAATTACCTTGTAAACAGAACCAAATCCGCCTTCTCCGAGTTTATTATCTTCAGAGAAGTTATCAGTGGCAGCTTCAATGGTGTTGAAATCAAAGGTTAACACATCTGCGGTTCCTTCGTCGGATAACAAACTACTTGTGGTATTACTTGGTGGTTTTTTACCTACAATTAACGTTAAATAATGACATCCATTTTCAAACCTTAATTAAAACTTCAAGAAACTCATGTCGAGAGCTCTCTTTCTAGATTTATACCTTCTCTGATTTTCAGTATAAAACAAAAGAGCACAAGAATGACTGCAGCAATGGGCACAATCACAGTGGCCGTGAGCCTTTTCTCACCAAGCCCTTTAGATTTCTTTACAGGTTGAGCTGAAAATGAAAAATTAAAAGAATATTATATATGGGTGAGTCTCCAGTGAGACTTTCTTAGGATGAGACACTGGTTCAAATAGAAATGTAATATAAATAAAAAATAAATTGATAGTTACTTAGAGAAAAAAAAAATGTAATACTTTTAAATTAAAATATAATATTTAAAAATTAAAAAGTTACTTAGAAAAAAATATAAGATTTTCATATAATATATATTACCGTATATATTAAAGTCTTAATTATATGGATATCAGTTAGAGCTGTCAAAACGGGTCCAATTTAGCAAGTCGGGCATATTTAACCCGCATTGTAAACGGGCTAGGTTGAAACCCGTATAACCCGTGTGGAGGCACGGGTTATATGAATTGCCCCATCAGCTTGTCCAACCACGTGTTAGGTTGGGATTTTTTAAACCGTGTAAAAACGGGTCGGGTTGACCCGTTTATGGGCAAACCTGAGACGAACGGTTCGTTTTACCACTTCCTTGCTTCGTGGTGAACGGGCCAGGTTGGCCCGTTTATGGACAAACCTGAGACGAACTGGCCTGTTTTGCCACTTCCTTGCTTTGTGGTAATTAATTTTTTTAAAAAAAAAAATTTATAAGGAAGGGATACCCTATAGGGGAGCAATCGGGTACCGATGGACTACATAAGGTCCTTGGTTAATTAAGTTTATTTAAACTCATGTTAGATTACATTTATATCTATCAAGAAAGTATAATACTTATATTGAAGTATAAAATGCTGATTTTTGGAGAAATTGTAGTGAAGTTACCTAAATCAGATGCAGAGACTCGAATATACATATCTTGGCCTCCTTTGGTGAACTCCCTCATATCTATCAACTCTCCATACCAAGTGATGCATCCACTTCCTCCATAGCTAATATTCGAGCTTGCATACGCCGTGCATGAACAGTTGTTCAAACAACGCTCCTTGCATTCTTCCAACCCTATCCCTCTGTTCACCTCCGCCGTCTCAGTGTCTGGGATCTTCATGCTCTCCAGTCTCGCGAACCCCTCACCGTTATGGCACACCTCTGTGTTATTCCTCTGGCACCCATTTCTTCCGTCTCCCATTCCCCATTCCTTGCTTGACTTGGGCTTAAACCCAGGGAGACATTTGCAGGGAAATCCCTCCAGATTTTGGGCATTGCAAACGCTGAAAGAACCACAGTGAGCATAAAAGTCACAGTTGTCTTGGGGGAAGTACCAAATCCCGACCCATCTCTTCATTTCATCATCTCCTTGCCATATGATCTTACTGAAAGCCCCGGATTCGTTTACCATTACTATTGTATATACAGACGGGTCCATTGTCAAGAACTGCATGGAGACCTCGTCCTGGTTTTCGATGTAGATGTAGGAGTTGATGTTTGAAGTCATTTCGGGAATGCCGCTCCATCTAACTCCATTCCATGACCCAATTCTCCACACCGGCTGGGTTTTGTCCTTGTACACAATTGACTGAGGCATCCCTTTCAGCTCCCATCTCAGTACATACTCGCCGGGGCTAGGATCGTCCGGCGACTTCCACGACGTAACAAACCGCTCCAGGCCAGTTTTCTTGTCCACTCCGATTTTCATGTTCGGGAGTATTGTATTTGTGGGATAATCGAAACTCTGCCATGGAGTGGCCCGGCTATCCGGGTGGTCATGATACAGAACCAGATTCCCAGTTTCTTGTAGCTTAGCAGAATAAGCTTTTAGGTTTATCCCCGTGGTCGGAAAAGAAAGACTTGTGCTCCAGACAGAAACATTGGTTTTGTTGTCTTGGATGACAAGATTTCCGGTGCTGTCGATGAAGAGGATTCCGGATGTACCGTTGACGGGGTTGTTCCGGTTAGCAACCCAAACAACCAATTGGTCTGGTATTTTTCGGTACCAAATTCCGACGTATCGCTTGCCGCCGGTGGAATTCTTCCCGGGGGTGAAGAAGCCGAGAGCAAAAGATTTTGCATTGGAGATTAATAAATCCCCGTCTTTGAGAGGTTGGTCGAAGGTAATTGTGTCTGTGGAACTGCACAAACATACCCGAAATGAAAGAAACATCATCGTCAAGACGATGATTCTAGTGAACATGCTAGTTTGTCTTCCCATGTTTAAGAAGAACACGAAGTAATGGTGGAAGACTAGCTTAGGATGCTTCAGTTGTTCAGTTTTACAAAATCATTTTAATATATATGTATTACTCCGTAATTAATTGTTTGCTGACGGGCCGTCCGTGATTGCGGAGAACGAAGAAAAGGCCAAGAATGAGATTAATGTTTGTATTTTTTATCTGTAAAATCTAAAAGAGAAGATAGAAAAGGTCAAGATTGAGACTGATTTCTGTAAAATATATGGTAGTTTGGTCCTCCAGCTATGATTAAATACTTAAAATTCACTCTTTTGATCTTGACTTATCAAAGTCACAAATCAAAGTTGTGACCAAATAGTTCCTAATAAAATTTGCTCGGGAATCAAAAGCACAAGATCAACATAGTTGTATGTAAACTCAGAGCAATAGCATGATGAACTAAAAAGTATCTAGGTCTTATTTTTAAAATGATGAATTATTATTTTTATTAACCGCATTTAACCAACCCTCCAACCAAATGCTTCTGCCAGCATTGAATGCGGACCAGCTTGTTGAAGACAAAAGTACATCGAACTCATATGAAGCTTTGTCATGAGCCGATTGTATTCATTAAGTATAGGTTCAATCAAGATTTGCTTTTTCAAGATACCAAAGGCAATCATGACATCATTGTGAACATAAAGTCATAAGGATTAAAATCCAAAAAAAAAAAAAAAAAAAAGACTAGCCCAACTTAAGTGAGATATAATAACTTCAATTCTCTATAACCTTACATTATCTTCATATTGTACTGTAATCTCTAATGAAAAATATAGCTCCATGAACAAAAGTTCCCAGTGCAATTCAGATGATGACTTATTTGAAGCTTCTGCATTTACACTAATCCCAATTTTCCAATACTAATAATAACCTTATTTATATGCACTACATATACAACACCACAGCCCAAATACTATCCACACACGAACCAATTTGAGCATTTAGCGACCCTCCATGTTGGTAATTGACACTTCATTGACAGATTGATTTCCAGCACTCATTGAGGATGAGCATTGAGCAGTATTGCCATGTTTGAATATAAATCCCGGTGGATTAGGATGAGGGAGATTCGTTTCATTACTTAACATGAACACCACTTCTGACATAGTTGGTCTGTCATTTGGAAATGCTTGAACGCACAACAGACCGACATGGATGCACCTTAGAACTTCTCCACCATCATATGACTCTGCTAACGATGGATCCACTATTTCCAATGCTTTTTCTTCACTCCAGAAATCCCATACCTGCAAATGTGTAATAAACATCAATATTTTCAAATCTTTTGTTTCTTAGAATAGGGTGAAGTATTGGGTGGCACTTACATCTCCTATTAAATTCAGGGAGTTTTCATTGAACTGGTTCTTGTTTTTCCTTCCGCTCACGATTTCCAACAACATAACACCGAAGCTGAAAACGTCTGACTTGACTGAGAAGTGACCTTCCATTGCGTATTCTGGAGACATATAGCCACTGCAATCAACACGAGTGAGACAACATGTTAATGTTAGTGACACAAAAATCAATCCCTTTCTAACATTCAATGCATGCCCAGTACAATCGAAGGGACGACGCCACTTCACTTACTATGTCCCGACTACTCGATTTGTATTTGCGTACATTTGGTCTCCTCCAAAAATCCGGGCCATCCCGAAATCAGATATTTTCGGCTGCATGGAGGCATCTAACAGAACATTGCTGGCCTTTAAATCTCTGTGAATAATTTTCAACCTAGAATCTTGGTGAAGATACAACAACCCCCGAGCAATCCCCAAGATGATTTCAAAACGCTTTTTCCAATCTAGAGATATCCCACTTGTATTTTCTGCAATAATGAGGTAGATGTTGGTTAACTCAATCGATGAATTGCAGGATCATATCATTGATGAACAATAAGGGAGACTGATTTACCAAATATGAAACTGTCCAGGCTTTTGTTAGGCAAGTATTCATACACCAGCATCTTCTCTCCTTGTTGGATGCAGCATCCTAAAAGCCTCACAAGATTTCTGTGTTGGAGCCTGGCAATTAGCGTAACCTCGTTCTTGAATTCCACCATCCCTTGGCCTGAAGTTTTCGACAGCCTTTTGATAGCTACTAGTTGTTCATTCTGCAACTTTCCCTGCCAGAATACCCAAAGCTCAGTTTATGATTCAACTGATCGAATTAGCAGATCGAGTGGTGGGAAAGTTTTGTTACCTTGTAAACAGAACCAAATCCACCTTCCCCGAGTTTATTGGCAGCAGAGAAGTTGTCAGTGGCAGCTCTAATGGTGTTCAGATCATACATTAACACATCCGCTGGTGCAGTGTCATCCACATCTTTCCCCATTTCAGACGACCATTCGGATTGTAAACTGGTTTTGCTTTGTAGTCTCTTACCTACAACATTAACATTTACAGATGACCATGAATTCTTGTTCAGACAAGATAAAATCAAGAACATACTACATTCTTAAATACTGTAAATTAAAAATTATACCTTTTCTGATTTTCATTACCAAACAGCAACATAACATAAGAATCACTGCTGCAATAGGCACAATCATAGTGACTATGAGCCTTTTCCCGCGAAGCCCTTTAGATTTCTTCACTGGTTGAGATGAAAACAACGAATTAAAACAACGCAAGATTCAATTTTTATGATACATATTGAAATTTTAACTGAGAAGTAAGATATATATGTACCTAAGTCAGATGCAGAGACTCGAATGTAGATATCTTGGCCTCCATTTGTGAATTCCTTGATATCTATCAAGTCATCATACCAAGTTATGCACCCCATTCCGCCTGCACTGATATTCGCGCTGGCGTATCCGGTGCAGGAACAGTTCTTCAGGCAGAGCTCTTCACATTGTTTCAGCCCAATGGTCTTGTTCACCCGCGCCATTTTAGTGTCCGGGACCTAACAGACGTGTCAAATCCAACCACTTAGCCATAAAACTAGTTTCAAATTAAGTAACTAGTTATAGAATTTAGTTAACGTGTCATGTTAACATGCGAACCCATAACTTTTGGTCTGGCTCTGATACCAAATTGAAGCATATGCTCCATCTCAACTCACAGTTAGATTGCACATTAATGACCACAGTACTAGACTTAATATCCAATTTAATCATTAACTATAGTTGTCTTTCTCGATTTAATCTTAAATGTCTTTTTACCTTCATGTGTGACAACAACAGGAAGCCCTCGCGGTTGTGGCAGACGTCTGTGTTGTTCCTTCGGCAGCCATGGACGCCGTCTCTCAAGTACCATTCGCGGCTGGAGTTTGGCCGGAATCCGGGGAGGCAAGTGCACTCAAACGCCCCCGGATTGAAGGTGTTGCATTTGCTGAACGCGCCGCAGTGAGCGTAGGCGTCGCACTGGTCCTTGGGCGCCGACCAGAACCCGACCCATTTGTTCACGTCGTCGCCTTGCCACGTCAGTCGGTTCACCCTGCCGGACTCGTTCAGCACGAAGATTGAGTGCACCGACGGGTCCCGGATCCAGTAACTCATCGTCACTTCATCCTCGTTTTCGGTGTAGTCGAGGTTGAAGATGTAGTTTCGCGACATTTCCGGCACGCCGCTCCATCCAACTCCGCTCCATGGACCGGTTCTCCAAACCCGGACCGGACCCCGGTTCAGAAACACCTGTGGCGTCCCGTTCACCTCCATTTTGAATTCATACTCACCGGTCCCCGGATCGCCCGGCGACTTCCACGACGTAAGATGCCGGTTCAGACCGGTTTTCTTGTCCACCCCAAACTTCATGAAAGGAAGTAAAGTATTTGTGGGATAATCAAAGCTCTGCCAATTTATACTCCGCCTATCCCGGAACAAAACCAGGTTCCCGGTATCCTGAAGCTGAGCAGAATAAGCTTTTATCCCCGTCACCGGAGAAGAAAGACTGGTGTTCCAGACAGAAACATTGGTTTTCTTGTCTTGGATGACAAGATTTCCGGTGGCATCAATGAAGAGGATCCCGGATGTGCCGTTAACAGGGCTGTCTCTGTTAGCAACCCAAACAACTGTTTGTTCAGGGATTCTCTGGTACCAAATTCCGACATATCGCCGGCCGGAAGAATTTTCCGGTGCAAAGAAACCAAGAACGAAAGACTTTTCACCGGAGATTAATAAATCCCCATCTTTGAGTGTTTGGTTGAAGGCGATGGTGTCCGTAAGACCGTACAGGGAAGATACAAGAAACGAGAGAATTACTGCAAATAATAGGTTTATTGTGGACGACATCTCTGTCTGTCTTCCCATATTTTTCAGATTGCTTTCTCTCCAGTTTTAATTAAGTCGATACAGCTAGCCTATACTGAAAGGAGCGAGTGACCCCAAAAATTGAATGCACCAGTACGGCAATACTACCAGTCACTTCTCTGAGAAAAAAAATCTTCTTCTTTAACTGTGTTTTGACTTCCGAACTTAAATTAGACATACAAGTATGGATACACAGTCACACATGGGTGATGAAGAAATAATATCTAAAGAAGTTAATGGTTTGGGTTTGCTAGCTGGCAACTTCAATGTGTAGAGTTCGATACTTACTAATGAAATGCATGAAATTTATGTCACTAATGTATAAACACTTTGGAAAACCTTATTGTCAAGAGCATATTTCTGAAAAGAAATGAGCAATGTGGAGCAACCAAGTCGAGCTGGTCCGACAATTAACTTAGTAGTCACAAGATTCAGAGTTATAGACAACTTAATTTACTTCATTGTGATCTTTTACCATGAATCACAAGTAAAACTTCACCATTGAGATCTTTGGGTTTTGGATGCAACCTTTTCAGGAAGTGATAAAACACCCTTGAGATCCTTGGATTTAATTAGGGGGCAAAATGTTCAAGAGTCATTGTAATAATAATCCTATGAACTTGATCTAAATCTAAAGTGTATTTGTAGTTTAATTTTCATATACTTTTTGGTGTATGTTTGTTAGTATATGCTTATTTTTCATATATCTTTCATGCATGATTACACATTGAATTGTAACTTGTAAGTCTCCACTATAAATAAATACACATTTATATTTATAAATATCCTCAACTGTTTTGGTGATGGGTCATTGACTCATTGAATTCTATACTAGCTAATCATATGTTGCGTGCATTATATATATTATACAAGTGTAAACAAGACTTCTCTTGTATGACCATCTAACTATTTATATGTTGGTGATAGGACATTTATTTCTTGAAGCTAAGGGTCCACTATCCTATAACATTCAATTATTTAGAGTTTTAACATTAACTATGGAAAATGACATATATATTTGACCTTGAGTTATACCTAATCCCTCAATTATATTATTATTTCTACTACTTGTAGGGACCTTTAGTTCAACATAATTTCAAAAATGTGAATAGGAAACATTTACATTCGATCTTTTATATAAAAATAAAAGTATTTGTAATTTTGTTTAACAATAATATGATTAATAGCATAAGTAGTGTTATTATGTTAGACAACATTCATGTGAATAGTCAATGTTACATTATTTATCACATACCAAATTATTTAAAACAAAATTTAAAGCAAAAGCGATAGGTACTTAAATAAAAATTTAATGCAAAAGTAATAGTTACTTAGCTAGGCATGGACAAAAAGGGATAATAAAGGTATAAATTTTATAATTATTAAATGATTTGAACTGAACAATAAGATTAAAAAAAAAAATGAAAAAAAAATAAATAAATAAAGGCAAACAAACTTGGTGATGGTATCAAATTCGATAGTATGGTAAAGTCTCCAGCTAAATGCCAACATAGTCTTTATTTGGTATATATAATCTATTTATGCCAAACAAATTAAAGGGGGTGTTTGGTAAATACTCCTATTAGCTATTAGCTGATTGAGTTAGTGAGTTTGATTAGTTGATAGTATTAGCTGATTGTAGAAAAATATTTAGTAAATTAGATGTTAGATAATAGCTGATTACACGTAAAATGACTTTCTCAAAAGGTTTATCATGAAAGCTATTTTGAACAGTTTTTTGAATTTTAACATTTTAAAATAATAAGTTATTACAAAAAGTTAATTAATCAAACACTTATATTGAAAATCCAACAAGTTAAACAATGATCAAATAAGTCAAAATTGACTGATAAACTAACTATGTTAGTAACGGGGCAAAATCTTAAGCTAAAGGATGAAGCACTGCACATCCCAAACAACTAGTTCAATAAGTGAAAGAATCACACCACAATTTCTTGCCTGGGATGGTATGAAAAAGAGTTCATACATCAGTTGTCAAACCCTTTAATAGGAACTGTTAAACATGAAAAACACATACAACAAAATAATGCTCAAAGCTACAAGAAATGGATCTGATGATAGGAAGCTTATATGGTACACAGACTCGACTCTTCTAATAATTTACAAATTTCTATTAACATCTGATCTCGGCTTTAGCGACCTTCTACTATAGTAATTGACATATCATTAACAGACATGCAACTAATAATATCTGCAGCAGTACTTGTGTTTGGTGCTGTGGAAGAGTGTGCAGCATAATTCCCAGATTGTCTTCCTATAAACCCTGGTGGGTTTGGAGAAGAAAGAGTTGTTTCATTACACAACATGAAAACCACATCCGACATGGCCGGTCTGTCGTTTTGATGTGCTTGCACACACAATAGCCCTATGTGTATGCATCTTAGGACTTCCCCAGCCTCGTATGAGTTACCTACTACTGGATCAACAACCTCTAAAGCCTTCTCCTCTCTCCAAAAATCCCAAACCTGTTCGATTTTGAAATTGGGTTACAATGTTATGTTTGAAAGGAATTCTTGATTTAATTTGATTCATCTATATTTTGGTTTATATATACTCACATATCCAACTAAGTTCATGGAGCTTTCATGGTATTGGCTGTTCTTTCTACCGGTGATGATCTCCAATAGTAACACACCGAAGCTATACACGTCAGATTTCATAGAAAAATAGCCCTCCATTGCGTATTCAGGTGACATATAACCACTGTAACCAATCAATTATATTAAAAGTGGTGTAAGTTAAGGTAGATTAAAACTTCTTGAAGCTTAACTATATCTTTTTTGGGAGCAAATTAATAAGCTTGCTTTAAAATTAGTTGGATTAAATGAGCACTTACTATGTTCCAACTACTCTCTTTGTGCTTGCTTCGATTTGGTCCCCTCCAAAAATTCTTGCCATTCCGAAATCTGAAATCTTCGGATGCATACAAGCATCTAGCAAAACGTTGCTTGCCTTTAAATCCCGATGAATGATTCTCAATCTGGAATCTTGATGGAGATATAATAGCCCTCGTGCAATTTCCAAGATGATTTCAAAGCGTTTTTTCCAATCTAACATCGATCCTCGCGTACTGTCTGCTCCGCATTAAGAACTTTGCTCATGAGATATAATCCATTATATAATCTAGCTAGCTAGCTTTTTGAACTTTATTTTATGCATATATGATATGCTTACCAAATATAAAAGTGTCCAAGCCTTTATTTGGCAAGTATTCATATACCAACATCTTCTCTCCTTGCTGAATGCAACATCCTAAAAGCTTCACAAGGTTTCTATGTTGGAGTTTAGCAATAAGTGTGACTTCATTTTTGAATTCCTCTGCCCCTTGTCCTGAATTTCTTGACAACCTTTTTACAGCTATTTCTTGTCCATTTGATAGCTGACCCTAAACCAACATACTTCTGTGTCACATATATATGCCACATATATGCATGTGGGAATGGTGAATATAATGTTAATTATTGATTACCTTGAAAACACGACCAAAACCACCTTCTCCAAGCTTGTTTTCAAGAGAGAAGTTAGCCGTGGCTGAAATTATGGTGTCCAGATCAAATATTAACACGTCTGTTGGCCCGCTTTCGTTCATCTCCTCCGCCATTGATGAGTCCTGATAGGATGCTAAGCTGTTGTTTAAGCTTAGCATACTGTTTCTTTGTAAGCCTTTCTTGTCTACACATTATAACCAAACCAGGCCAGTTAAATCTAAAATCATGCCAAGAATTCATGGCTAGCTATAAATTTCTTTACCTCCCTTCTTCTTCATAACCAAATAATATCCCAAGTAGAGCCCAAGAATCATTATTGCAACCAGAGACACTACCGCTATCGCCACCAGTCTTCTCTCATGGGAGTTCTCTTCAGACTTGTTGGACAATTTAGCTGAAAAAAACAAAAACAACAACAGGATTTGTAAGTTCGACTCCAACTGGAGCGGCCTATTGATATTCTTGGTTTAAACTGGTTGATTCTTTAACGGCTAGGGTTACAAAACAAGATTTACCTAACTCAGATGCGGAGATTCTAATGTACATATCCTGGCCTCCCCCATCTGTGAACTCCTTCATATCAATCAAATCATCGTACCAAATGATGCACCCAATCCCTCCGGCACTAACATTCGCGGTGGCAAATCCGGTGCACGAACAGTTCTTCAGGCAAACCTCCTCGCATTCTTTGAGCTCCATGCTCATATTCACCGTCGCCATTTCAGTGTCGGGGATCTTCATTCTTGTCAGCTTCGCAAACCCTTCGCCATTCCTGCACGCATTCTCTCCGTTCTTCCTCCCACACCCTCGCAGCCCGTCTCTAGAGTCCCAGTCCCGCTCCTCCCGCGGCTTGAACCCCGGCAGGCATGTGCACTCGAAATCCTCGGCCGCCTCGTACGGGTTGCATTTGCTAAACGCGCCGCAGTGTTCATAGTCATCGCATTGGTCCTTGGGTGCGAACCAGAACCCTTCCCATCTGCTCTCCCCCACGTCCCATGTTAGCCCTTCCATTTTCCCGGACTCGTTCAACACGATTCTTGACAAAACTGATGGCCCGTCTATGGCGTACATTTCACTTACCTGTAACAATTTTCCATTTTCCATATAATATAATATTATTCAATAATTTACATGGGCTTAGTTCACTGGTTTAGTAACGTTACCTTATTGTTTTTTACGTATGTTAGGTTGAAGATGAACTGGGTTTTCATTTCCGGCACCCCACTCCACCCGAACCCGTTCCAGGGCCCGGCTCTCCATATCCGTTCAGAGCCTCTATACATAAACTCCTGCGGTATCCCCTTCGTCTCCAGCCGGTAAAGATACTGACCTTCGCTGGGATCGTCCGGGGCCTTCCATGATCTCAGACCCCAGTCCAGACCGGCGTTCTTGTCTATCCCGAATTTCATGTACGGCAGAATAGTGTTCGTGGGGTGATGAAAGCTCTGCCAAGCAACCACGCGGTTTTCCTTGTCGTCTTGGAACAAAAGTACTAGGTTTCCGGTCTCCAGAAGCTGAGCCGAATGTTTCTTCACCATTGTCTTCGCCGGAAAAGAAACACCACTCGTCCAGACAGAAACGTTACTTCTTTCATCGCGCACGACGAGGTTTCCGGTGTCGTCTAGGAAAAGAACTCCGGATGTGCCGTTGATGGGGTTGTTTCTGTTGGCTACCCAAACGGCGGTCTGTTCCGAGACTGCGTTGTACCAAATGCCGACGTAGCGCCGGTGAGAGTTTCCCGGGGTGAAGAAGCCGAGAGAGAAGGTGTTCCCGCTGGAGATAATGACGTCGCCGTCTTTCAAAGACTGGTTGAAGGCAATGGTGTCCGTAGAAGGGTAAAATGAAGGAAGAAATGAAAGAAAAGATAATGCCAAGTATAGTGCATGAAGATACATGGTTTGCTTCATGAATTTCTTTGCTTTCTATATTTTTTTGCTATATATGGTAGTGATCTGAGGTGTATATCTGACATAAACGTGGCTGTACCAAACTACCAATGACCAATGTCAACTTATCAGTGCCCATATCCACTCATTATTCTATGTTAAAGAAATGCTCTGTCGGGTTGGGGTGTGGGCATAGGGTTGGGTTCACCCTTTTGGAAGAATGTTAAAAGAAATGCTCACTTTCCGTTATATTTGACTAATCCTAAATTAGTTAATCCAGTTGAGAAGTCCTATTTGGTAAAATAGTTATTTATAAGTTAATTTTGACTTATTTGATCACTATTAACTATTAAACAATCAATATGAGTGTTTGATTAATTAGTTTTTTTATAACAATTTATTGTTTCAAAATGCTAAAATTCAAAAAGCTGCTCAAAGTAGTTTTTTATCAACTTTTTGAGAAAGTCATTTTGTATATAATCAACTAAAAGCTAATTTAAAACACTTTTCTACAATCAACTAATGTTATCAACTAGTCAAACCCACTAATATAATCAACTAACAGCCATTTACCAAATACCCCATAATGTAGGTAAATATATATATTTGTCTATAACATGTTAGGCGACATCCTTGAGAGTCAAATCTAGCTAGTAACCTATTATTTCAAGGATGTCAAATCTAGCTAGTAACCTATTATTGAAATAGGGCGCATGCACTGACAGCTATTCAAGTATAAAGTTGTGCATTTGCTATATATTAGTTATATATAGATTTTGGCATCTTGGTAAGCATTATACAATTAGAGTTGTGGTTATTGGGAGGAAGTTGTTGGGCGGCAATTTGAAGGGTCGAGTCTAGTATAATACCATCAAAACATAGTATTGACTATTACACAAGTTACAAAAAAAAAAAAAAAAAAAAAAAATAGCATTGCTATTACATATAGCTTTTAGTTGTAGTGATAAGAGCTCGGAGCAAATAAAGTTGACAGACATATTAAAGTTGACAGAGTCCACAGGACAAAATTGCTTTTCGTGAGTTCCTTTGAATTTTCAAACTTGTTTTTGCATTGGAGCAATTAAGTGCAAACGAGACACCCGTGGATGAATAGGAATATATGACGTGAAGTCAAAGGAATAAGAAACTGGATTGTATGAAACATTTGAACCAATTAGGTAAAATAGTATATTCCTTTTGTTTGGTTTGTATGTACAATTGTACATGGTTAAGATTTAACCTAAATTTGTTAGATTTTAATACTTTGAGGTAGTAATTTTTTAATTTTGTCAAACCGTCCCGCGCGGTATGTTGTGATGTATTTAATGATTCTATGATAATGTGATCATATTCTGTATTCAAATGATAAAATGAGCATTTTTGTAATGCAACTTAGTAACACAATATAATTATTATCTGAATATTATTGTAATGTTTTTTTTTTTTGAATAGCATATATTTTCTCTCTAGAAAACGGAAAAAAGGTTTTTTTTTTTTTTTTTTTTTTTTTGAGTTGAATTGGAGTTCCCCAAAAAAAAGGAAGTTAAGGAGGCCATGCCATGGTTGGGCATGTGATATTTTTGGAAAGTGGTTAAATTTCTAATGTTTGAATTTTTTTTTTTTTATTACAAGAAAAATTTGTATATTCATTATATATATGAATGTGTCTATCAGGTAAACTATACTTTTGTGTAATAACTTATAAATCATAGAGGCCGGAGAGATAAACCATAATACTAAGAAGATCTTATGTGACGGACTTGACTGATAACGTATTAGCAAAAATCAAATTCAATTATAATTTTTTGGTGCAAAATCTAATTTCATCTACTCGATCGATCATCCATTATCTAGGCATGTTTGGCTATTTTTGGCCATGCAATAGAATGTGGAGGTGAGGTTGTGTTGTTCAACATGCCTAAAAAGTGATGCTGTTGTTCAAAAGCTAGCCAGGCAAGCTCTTTTTTTTTTTTTTTTGAAAACCAGGCAAGCTTAATTACACCGGCCGGCCAATACCATAATTTAATAATATCGATCTAAAATTCCTCAATTAGATGTATTGAACGAAGTTATATCTGTAGTTTTGTTAGTGGTATTAGCTATGTTAATAATGTTATTATTTCCTATATTATATTTGTTATATATTATGGTTAATAATTATGTGGTGTTAGATTAGTTGATTAGAACTAGTCTATTAGTTACAAGATATTTACGTTTTCCTATTTCAGATACTATTGTAATCTCAATCTTTTGTAATTGAATAGAACCCAGCTAGGGCAAAATTAAATATTATATAAAAATTGTCTTGTTAGTGGTATTAGCTAGGGCTAAAAAAATATACAAATTGCCTCGAGATGTGTGGCCAGATAAGTAGACTGTGATTCTCATACATGAAAGTCACCGATTCAATCATGCCAATACCCTTGAGTCCATAATATACAGATCTTCTTAACTCTCCTGTGTAATTTGTGTATACAAAGCCGTGCGATGTGCGTGCAATGCATGTGCGATGCACGTATAATTTTTTTTTATTATATATTTAGATAATAAAATTGTTACTATTACACGGGGAAAAATGAATAATCTACAAGCTCCAATAAATACAAGATAAACATCAATTAATATACTGTCACAATGACAAAATCCAATTGCTACTATGAATTGCAAAAAATGTCCATCACCTTTCTTAATTACACAATAAAAATTGTATCTTACATTATTGGCATTCACTTACAAATGTTGTAACTCTCCCTACAAACCATGTCACAATGACCATTATCGATCTTGCCAACAATCTACCACCCAAGAACGAATTGAACTGCCCGTTCAAGTACAACGGTCATTATCTTCCATGTAGTGCAGTTACTGTAAGCTGATTCAAAGAGAGAGTTTGATGATTATGATTACTTGAAGATGAATTTGTTATGGCAGCATTATTCCCCAGGCAAAATCCTGGCTGTTTAGGCTGTGGAAGCAAGGCCCCTTCACTACTCAACATAAACATCACAGTTGCCATATTTGGTCTATCTTCAGCTTTCTCCTGGACACATAACAACCCTACTTGTATGCTTCTCATTACTTGATCATCCCATTCTGAATATGCTTCTGAAATCATAGTTGAATCTCGCAGTTCCAACCCTCTTCTTTCTCTCCACAATCTCCATGCCTGTAGTTTACAAAATTAATCTTGATGGCAAGGATCACAATATCTAGAAAACAAACCTTGTATTAATATCAACATGCACTTACGAGCCCAAGAAGGTTTTCTTCGTTGTTTTGTTTGTAGAAGCCTCGATTATGCTTCCCCGTCACTATTTCTAGCACCAGAACTCCGAAGCTAAAAACATCGGATTTCACTGAGAACAGACCGTCCATTGCATATTCAGGCGACATGTAACCACTGAGAAAATTAAGGTAAATATTATGAAAATATAGTTAAAGAAATTAAAGCATTTCAAGGCAAATGGTTTTAGTGATTACTATGTTCCAACCACTCTTATTGTGTTATTTGCTTCTGTTTCATCGCCCCCAAAAATTCTTGCCATGCCAAAGTCGGATATTTTGGGATTCATTTCTTTGTCGAGGAGAATATTGCTTGCTTTGAGATCCCTATGAATAATTCTAAACCTCGAATCTTGGTGGAGATATAGAAGTCCACGAGCAATCCCACAAATGATGTTGAAGCGCGTTTTCCAGTCAAGCAGTGAGCTCTTATGTTTATCTGAACACATATAATTGCATTTAAAACATATATTCCGTATAAGATACACCCGTTTCTAAATGTACCAAAAATCATAATTTATATAAGTTTGCACGTGCATTGCACGCACATCGCACGCACATCGTACGCACATCGAACTTAAAACTTGTGTTTACTTAATCAGCTGTCCGACTAACAAAACTAAGCGGGGATTGCCCCTAATTTGTATAAGCTAAAGAGAAGGGATTAGGCTTACTAAATAAAATGGAATCCAGGCTCTTGTTTTCCATGTATTCATATACTAGCATTTTCTCCTCATTATCAACACAACAACCAAGAAGCCGGACTAGATTTCTATGTTGGAGTCTTGCAATCAATCTAAGCTCATTCTTGAATTCTTCTACTCCTTGTCCCGAATTCTTTGATAGTCTCTTTACCGCTATTTCTTCACCTCCAACCAGTATTCCCTGATACACATTCCATCCAAAATCGCACACCTTATTATATATATGGTATATTAGATACACAATTTAAATACCCAATTATGGTCCATAGATCACAATTTATACTTACCTTGTAAACAGAACCAAAACCACCTTGCCCTAACTTATTTGCATTGGCAAAGTTGTCAGTTGCCATAACAATGGTGCTAAGATCAAAGACTGGTAATTCAAACTCATCCGTTGTAATGGTTTCCCCAGAAAGCTCTCGCTTATTTGAGATAGCAATTGCATTCATTAGATGATCCCCTCCTCTTTCTCCTGCTCTTGTTTATTTAAGATAAATGAGTACAATTGAACAATGAGACTAACTCTGATCTCAAGTATATATACTGCAGAATTTAAAAAGAAATGGAAAATCAACATTTGATTACCTCTAAACTCTGTTGTTCTCCTATTATTAACTCTTACTGATTTTCTTCTCTTCAATTGAAAAAATACAAAAAGTAGAAAAAGGACAATGCCAAGTGTGATGCCACAACCTAAGATTATCTTTTTGGTCTTGCCAGAATCACCATCTCCAGTTGTTGCAACATCCCCATTTTTATCTAAACCGACAGTAGTACGTGACAAACAATCAGAGGTTTCATGCTAGGAAACATTTAGAATTCTAATAAAATTACACTACATCAGATCACAAAGTCTATCCCAAGTAAATCAGATTCTATTTCTCAAAAAAAAATAATCGATGAAATTTTAATCCACAAAGTCAAAATTTATAAACTTATTTTAGGTGATGAGGGGATGAGTGTGAGCATATATCCATTAATGTGTATCCAACTATCAGCTTAGGCTTTTAGTTGAGATGGAGCACATGCTTCAATTATGAAAACAACAGTTCAAATCACACAAGAAATAAACTGCACTAGAAAAAATAGTTTTCAACCAACACGTGGACCGGTAAACCGGCAAAAAAATAATTTTTTTCTTTTTTGAGAGCATATATGTTAGGTGGAATTTTGATTAAATAGAATTTGTCAAATTTCACGGCGTTTACCTATTTAATAGAAGTTTCCAAGTTAATTTTGACCGCTACTGATGGATATATAATAACAAGCAGAAAGACAATGTGCACAGATTATTGAATATGGTGCGACTTTTTTGGTTCCGTAAATGGAAAATTAATTTTCTAAAGGTGTTCAATTTCTGGAATCAAATTGTGACGCAACGAATCTAGAAAAAAATTGTGGGAAATTTCAGAAATTATGGCTATGATCACACTTAGATCTCTTCATCACCAAATTCTAGATTGGGAAAGTGGAATGGCAAACTAAATCACATTAACTCAATTGTTCAGCAGATAGAGTCAAATGTCTGAACATAAGGGATCTGTCGGCATAATTCTAACAAAAGTTTAAATTTTAATCTCTTCTATTAAATCAGTAAGGCACAAACTTTACAATCCTGTTAGACCGAGATATGGGACCCGGGATTTTATCTTTGTGGACAAAGTGGAAGGCAAGCGTACCTGCATCGGAAGCAGCCACCCGGACGTAGAAAGGTTGGCCGCTCCCCGCCGAGAACCGCCGCATATCCACAAGCTCCGCCGTCCAGATAATGCATCCCGACCCGCCGCCGCTGATATTGGAGTTAGTGTAGGCCGTGCAGAAGCAATCCCTAACGCACATTTCCTTACACTCATCCAAACTCATCGCCGCATCCACAAACGCCGCCGTTGTAGTCTCCGGCAACTTCATGTACTCCAACGTTAAAAACCCGTCCGTTTCGCACACCAATTCGTGGTACCGGAAACACCCCTCCGACCCGTCGCGCAAATCCCAGGCCTGTTGGTTTCTGGGCTTAAACCCGACCAAACATTCGCACACCGGGGAATCATTGGTGTCGCAAATCGCAAACGTACCACATTCTTTGTAGTAGTCGCACTGGTCTCTCGGCCCGAACCAGAAAACGTTCCAAATCCGATTCGCTTCAATCCATGTCGACCGCTCAAGATACCCGGTGTGATTCACCAGCAATCTCGAGTATAAAGTCCTGTTCTGAATCTCGAACGTGTAGTAAATTTCTTGTTTTGTCTTCACGAAAGAGGAAGCGATGAATCCTTCCGTTCCAATCCCCGGGGCGCCGCTAAACCGGACGCCATTCCAAGCGCCACTGCGGTGAATGATTTTGTCTCTGTTCCTCAAGTAAGCTTCTGGGGAGGAGCCATTGATGTCCAGCTTGAAGGTGTAATCGCCCTCGGAGGGATCGGTTGAGCTTTTCCACGACGAAACGTATCGGTTTCGCCCCGTTTTAGCGTCCCATCCTAGCTTCATTCCAGGCAACAACGTGTCCGTCGGGTAATCAAAGCTTTGCCAGAGATAATTCCCTGGGTTTTCATCGTTTTCTTGGCGAAGAACAAAGTTCCCGGAATCCAGGAGCTGGGCGACTGTGTTTCTCGCCGTGGACTGGTTTGACGACGACCACATTGGATTCCCTGTCGTGTCCACCAATTGGATATTACCATCCTCGCCAATTTCCAAGATTCCGGAGCTATTTCTCACAGGTTTGTCTCTGTTAGCCACCCAAACAATGGTCTTGACTGAGATTCTCTTGTACCAGATTCCAACGTAAAGTTTACCTGAGTTGTCGGGTCGGAAGAAACCCAATTCGAAGAGGTCACCGGCGGATACTAAAGTCTGGTTTTCTGTGAGAGGTTGTGTGGGAGTGATGGTGTCAACAGGGATAGCTATGGTGAGAGTTGGGATAAGAAGGAGGTACCAAAACAGGTAGCCATGGAGTTTAATGAGGTTCTCCATTATATTCTTGAATTAAAGAATGGATAAGACTCTATCTTTGAGGCATTGAGAGGAAGATGGAGGGAGGGATGGAAGAAACGTGGTATGAAAAGTCCCAGAACTCTATAGACTTTCTTGATCATCCCTCCTTTGACTTATCATTGCCATTAAAATGATTTTTGTCAATCCCAAGTTCAAACATAAAGAAAATGTCAAGTATATATTATATATATTTAGTCAAATTTAATTCTAATCTTGTACCATTAATAAAAGTTCTAGTCTAAGTACCCAAGTCTAATTTTACATGTTAAATATAAATTTACTAGTTTGGATATGAATAATTAACAGGTTGTCAAGTTGAAAGCCATTATAGTTGAATCATGCTTTCTCTCCACAATCTCCGTGCCTATAGGCCAGGAGTTCACAAAATTAATTTGGATAGGGGATGGCAATAGTAAAAAAACCTACCAAACGTTAGCTTTTAAGATGAATCATACCTTTAATTTTCTGGTTGAAACTGCATTGCGTTCCTCCACGATGGTTCGTTGCGTGGTGGTTCACGTGGTGGCAGGGCTGGCCGTGGACGTGGTGGAGGTCAGCGCTGCCAGATTTGCCGTAGTCATGGCCATACGGCTGTTCACTGTTACCGCCGGTATTCGGAGTCGCCGGTGTGGCGAGCTCACATGGCAGTAAGTGACGACAAAGCAGGATGGTGGATAAACCAGAGGTGACTCAACAACCTCTTAGATGTGCCGGTGTCCCTCAACTTATCAAGAGAACCTACCCCTAATAAGATTTGATAAATTTTATCTCTGTGACCAATTGATCAATAAAAGAGTGGATGCCATTGGAGTGAGGCAATTTTGATAATCATTGAGAGGAAGATGGAGATCAGAGGTGGAAGAAGTTTGGTTTGAAAAGTTCCAAAACTCTATACACTTTTGCAAAAGTATATCACTCCAAAAATTTTGTAATTTTGGAATTGACATAAGATATAAAAAATCACAATACAAGACACAAACACATGTTATATATTTACTTATTTTTCAAATATGATTTATGTACATAATTTGTGTTTATAGGCACAGAATTTAACAACACAAATCACATAAATTCATAACATAAGACACAATTATTAATTTGTTTCAATTACAGAATTCATACTCTTAAAATACAAAATTTCATAACAAATGTAAAAACTTACAACATAACACATATAAACATGCATCAAGTTTACCGTGCATCGTAAATCCTTATCCATGGTATAAAGATGATAAGTTTCACTGTTAAAAACTACTCAGTATTCAATCATTCATAAACCACACAGAGCAATAGAATTGAATCCCAACATATTTTACTTGAAATTATCAAAAGTTTTTGGAAGAGATGAGACGAGCCCTATTATACAAAACGAGTATATGAAACTCGATGTTTACTTTCTTGTTATTATTTACTGACTAGTATGATACTCGTGGTACACCGTCTATAAATTTATAGTATAAATTTGTAGTAGTTAATGTTTTTTTTTTTACATTGTTAAAGTATATTATGTATATTGTAAATAATGGAATTGATAGTTATTATATATATTGCCTTTTAATAGACTATTTTTATATATGGTTATTAATTACTTAATTACAAATAAAAATTCTTAATTGTAGGGAGACTTTTGCGACATTCTAATCTGTCAAATAATTTTAAAATAATTTATTACATCATTTCAAACATTTTAATAAGTTATTTTTAAATTAATATATATAAATAAATTATTCTACCCAATTATATATATTATTTTTAAATACGATCATAATAACTCAATATGATGTACAATATATATGTATATAATAATATATAAATATAGTATTATCCTATTATACATATATGTAATTATGGAATTGACAGTCACATACGTTCATATGAAAATAATTATTATATAAATAAATATCATGCCTTTTAATAGATTTTTTTTATATATGGTAATTAATTTCACAATTACAAATACAAATTCCTGAATGCAGGGAGACTTTTTGACTTTAAGATAATTTATATAATTTCAAACCTTTTAATAGGTTATTTTTAAATTTATATATATCATTCCTAAATACGATCCTAATAACTATATATGATGTAATATATATATATATATATATATATATATATATATATATATATATATATATATATATATATAATCCTCCTATTTCATTTTTCCGCTCAAACATGTGTAGTAAAACTTATTTGGTAAGTAAATGTAAAATGGAAATTAATTAAAATTTATTAATTGATAATATTACATAATTACACCTTTCCTTTTTGAAAATTATACAAGTTTATAGTTCTCATATTTTCTACCTATAAATACAATGGATTGGTGAGTTTAGAAATCATAATTTTTCATTTTTCACTGTTTCCCTTTCTTTTTGCACAAGTTTATAATTCTCTCTGTGGAATCATATCTTGGTGTTGCACTCATGAAAACATAAGTATTTTTTTCTACAGTTTTCAAGATTATTATTATTATTATTATTATTATTATTATTATTATTATTATTATTATTATTATTATTATTATTATTATTATTATTTTGCAATTGTAGCTTCAAGTGTTTTTAATGCGGAAGGATCCAACGGATTGGGCGTTGATGGAGACCCTGGTAACATGCCCTACAAAGCTGATTTCTTAATTTTTTCCGACAGTAAGGAAGGGTTGGCGTTTTTCTTATCAAAAATCAAACTCGTTTTCTCCTCACATGCAACGAAGCGCTTTGCCGAACTGGGAAGTGATTTTTTTAGATGATGAGTTTGAATTTACTTGTGTTCATCTATCTCCAACTCTTAAGTTTGTTCACTATTGCACATGTAGGTCCAGACATACATTAAAGATACTATTTAGTATCCCATGTGTAATTAATGTATAAGAAATGTTGTAGAATATAATGGTACTCTCATATCATAATACACACTCCACTTTGAAGTAGTATCCCGATTTCCAACAAATAAAATATAGTAAGTAATTATATTCTTCTTTTACTCAACATGTTAAATTACATGAATCTATTTATAAATTAATATGAATACAATAAATGTTTTCACATTTGGAGGGGAAATTTTTGGGAATTACATGAATCTATTTATATATTAATATGAATACAATAAATGTTTTCACATTTCGAGGAAAAATTTTTGGGAATTACATGAATATATATATAAATTAATATGAATACAATAAATATTTTGACATTTGGAGGGGAAAATTTTGTGACAATTTGTCGCCTTCAGTATCGACTTCCAGCATTATGCGCTTCACGATGACATTTATAGAGGACTTAAATTTGTATCTTTATCTGATTTTATGAAAATATATATATGGATAAGAGTTAATTAACGAAATGGTCCCTTGACTATAGTGAAATTACCAAGTTGGTCCTTGACTATTTTTTTTAACCAATTAAGTCCCTCAACTTTAAAAATCTTAACCAATTTGGTCCTCCGTTAGTTTGATCGTTAGTCAACCGTTAACTTGGGACCAAATTGGTAATTTCGCTATAGTCAAGGGACCATTTTGGTAATTATCTTTAGGGGTGGGCAATTCAGTTTAGTTTTCTCGAACTGAACTGTATCAAACTGAACCGAACTAATTTGGTTCAGTAATATACTGAACAACCGAACGGTATTTGATTCTTGTATACCGAACGGTTCAATAAAAAAACGATCCGAATTGTTCGGTAAAAAATTGAACTGAACTGAATACCGTTTGATTTAAAAAAAAAAACATAATAATAATAATAACAATAATAATAATAATAAATAAATAAATAAAAAGTAAATCCAAGTCCTATACTGCTTGCTCTTCCGTTCAACTCATATTTTCACGGGTATCTCTCGTAAATATTTTATTTGATTTCTTTATGGTTTGTTATCAAAAGTTATATATTATGTGTTATGGTGTTTACATAGTCCATATCCAAAGTCTAATATATAACAAAATAGCAATCCAATGTTCAAACGATATTCGGTTCGGTTCGGTTTTTACCGAACAAATTCAGTTCGGTTCGCGTTTTTATCGAACCGTCCGGTATACAAGAATCTATTACCGTTCGGTTGTTCGTTATATTACCGAATCTAACTAGTTTGGTACGGTTCGGTTCGAGAAAACTGAATCGAATTGCCATCCTTAAAGTTAATTACCAAAATGGTTCATTGACTATAGCAAATTACCAATTTGGTCCCAAGTTAACGGTTGACTAACGGTCAAACAAACGGAGGACCAAATTGGTTAAGATTTTTAAAGTTGAGGGACTTAATTGGTCAAAAAAAATAGTCAAAGACTAAATTGGTAATTTCGCTATAGTCAAGGGACCATTTCGATAATTAACTCTGAAATCAATAATTTTACTAAAATAATTCTAAATTTGATTTTACAAAAATATCCTTGAGTTTGGTCTATTAATTGCGTACGTTACGAACAAACCCTATATATAAACATAGTTTACCATCCCAAATAACAAAAGGAGATCAGAAAAATAATATAAAATATAAAAATGGCTTCTTCTTCTTCTTCTTTTTCTTCATATTTTGTCCTTCTGTGCCTGTCAATGTTTGTTGCAGTTCCGAGTCTGGGCAAGGCGGCCACTCCAAAAATTTTGTAATTTTGGAATTGAATTAGCTAGGTATACAAGCTATGCCACAATAATGACCATGGCCTTACATGAATTAACTACCTTGCATCCAGCATGGTGACTGTAAGTTGATTCAATGATTGATCATTGTAACTAGTAGAAGACGAATCCATTTTGACAGGTTTACTTGCTAAACAAAATCCAGGTTGTTTAGGTTGGGGAAGCGAAGTCCCTTTGCCTATCAGCATCAACATCACGGCTGCCATATTTGGTCTGTCTTCTGCTTTCTCTTGGACACACAATAGCCCCACTTGTATGCATCTCATTACTTGATCAACAAATTCGGAATGCGATTCTGAAGCGATAACTGAATCCAGTAGTTCCGACCCTCTCCCTTCTCCCCACAATCTCCATGCCTGTTGGATCGGAGGTCACAAAATTAAGCAATTAACCATGACAATAGTTAGAGAACAATTGTTTTACTAACATCATCCTACACTTACAAGTCCAAGAAGGTTCTCTTCGTTGCTTGGAGTATAGAATCCTTGATTTTTCCTTCCACTCACAACTTCTAGCACCAGAACTCCGAAGCTAAAAGCATCAGATTTCACCGAGAATAGTCCATCCATTGCATATTCAGGTGACATGTAACCACTGAAAAAGGTAAATGTTGAGTGTATAGTGAAAGTTAATCAAAGAAATCAGTAACTGAAAGATATAATTAGTTAGAAAATTGTTTTGATGGTTACTATGTTCCAACTATTCTCTTTGTAGTACCAGCCTCTGTCTCATCTCCACCAAAAAGTCTTGCCATGCCAAAGTCAGATATTTTGGGATTCATCTCCTTGTCTAGGAGAACGTTACTAGCTTTGAGATCTCTATGAATGATCCTAAACCTCGAATCTTGGTGCAGATATAGAAGTCCACGAGCCACCCCGCAAATGATGTTGTAGCGCCTTTTCCAGTCGAGCAATGAGCTTCTCTTTTTATCTAAATATACATAATTGGATTCAAAGGTGCATATAAATCCCAGCATTTCTATAGATTGAAGAAGAGGGGATAGGCTTACCAAATAGAATGGAATCCAAGCTCTTGTTTTCCATGTATTCATATATCAACATTTTCTCGTCAATATCAACACAACACCCGAGAAGCTTCACTAGATTTCTGTGTTGGAGTCTTGCAATCAATCTAAGCTCATTCTTGAACTCCTCGGCTCCTTGTCTAGAGTTCTTTGACAACCTCTTCACAGCTATTTCTTCACCTCCAACTAGCATTCCCTAATACATATTACATCCAGAAAAGGCACACCTTATAATGCATATGGTCTACTAGGTTGAACTTGACCGTGTTCCTTAATTAACATAAATAACGTGTGCTTACCTTGTAAACAGAACCAAAACCACCTTGGCCTAGCTTATTTGCATTGGCAAAATTGTCCGTTGCCATAGCAATGGCATTAAAATCGAATATTGGTAATTCATACTCATCCGTTATCATTGTCTCACCGGAATGCTCTCGCTTACTTGAGATTGCAGTTGCATTCATTAGAGGATCTCTACTTCTTTCTCTTGTGCCTGTTTTAAGAACAAATATATTGATCGAGTAAACTAAGTTGAATTTAAGAACACACATAATAAGATCAATGTTTGATTACCTCTCATCTCTATATTTTCAGTAACACCTCTTCGCAATTTTCTTCTCTTCAATAGAAGTAATCCAAAAAGAACCATGCCAATTCCAAGTACTATGCCACATGCCAATATTACCTTTTTAGTCTTGCCAAAACCATTCCCACCTCTTGCAACTTCCCCGGTTTGTTCTAAACACACAAGTAACAAGATTTCATGCTTGAAGTAAAAATTTTAGAAGTCCAAAACTAAAAAGTTGATCAGATAAACCAAAATAACTAGTCACATGAACCCCACCACCAAAAAAAAAAAAAAAAAAAGTTAAAAAAATAATTTTTTTTAAACGATTTTAAAATTTAAAAAGTTCATATATATCGTTTCAACTTTCAGCTATAAAATTTTATAGAAAAATTTGACTGCTACGAATAGACAACTGAGGGAAAGAAAAAGTGTTTGGAAACCAGCCTAACTTCAAATTGTCACGCAACCACCATTCAAGGAAAGTAGTGAAAGTTGTTGGTTCTAATTAAATATTTTAATTTTAATTATGAAATATTAAAATGCTCTACTTTTATTTTTATCACAAAATATATTACGGAGTATATTTAAAATTTTAACTATTACTCCGTAAAAAAATGTGTCACGTCTAATTTTAAAATAAAATAAAGCGTACCTGCATCGGAAGCAGCCACTCTGACGTAGAGAAGTTGGCCGCCTTCCGCCGTATACTGCCGAATATCGAAAAGCTCCGCCGTCCAAATAACGCATCCAGAGCCGCCGTTGCTGATATTATAGTTGGAGTAAGCCGTGCAGGAGCAATTCCTAACGCACATCTCTTTACACTCATCCAAACTCATCGTCGCATCCACAAACGACGTCGAACTCTCCGGCAACTTGGTGTAATTCATCGACAAAAACCCATCGGTCGGACAATCCAATTCGTCGTACCGAAAGCAGCCGCCGGACCCATCTCGCAAAGACCAAGCCTGTTGGTTTCTGGGCTTAAATCCGACCGGACACCCGCACACCGGGGACATGTCGGTGTCGCAGATTCCAAAGGAACCGCATTCTCGGTAATTGTCGCACTGGTCTTTCGGGGCGTTCCAGAATCTGTTCCAGATGCGATTCTCGGGAATCCACGTATACCTTTCAAGTAACTGTGTGTAGTTCACTATCAATCTGGAGAATAAATTCTTGTTGTGAATCTCGAAGGAGTAGTAAACTTCGTTTTTGGTTCTCATGAATGAGAAAGCGATGACTTCTTTGGGTTCCATTTCTGGGACGCCGCTGAACGCAACGCCATTCCAGCCGCCACTTCGATAAATGATGATGTCTTTGTTCCTCAAGAAAGCTTCGGGTAATCCATTGATGTCCAGCTTGAAGGTGATATCCCCCTCGGACGGATCGGTCGGGCTTCTCCACGATGAAATGTATCGATTCCGCCCTGTCTTTGAGTCCCATCCTAGCTTCATTCCAGGTAGCAACGTGTCTGTCGGGTAATCAAAGCTTTGCCAGAGATAATTCTCTGGATTTTCATCGTTTTCTCGGCGAACAACAAAGTTTCCGGAATCCAGGAGCTGGGCAACTGTGTTTCCTGGCACGGACTGATTATTCGTGTTTGATGACGACCAGATTGAATTCCCTGTCCCATCCACCAAATGGATGTTCCCATCCTCGCCAATTTTCAAGAATCCGGTGGAATTCCTCAGAGGTTTGTCCCTGTTCGCGACCCAAACGATAGTCCTGTCTCGGATTTCCTTGTACCATATCCCAACGTACAGTCCACCGGAGTTGCCACCGGGACTGAAGAATCCCAGTTGGAAGACCTCACCGGCGGAGACTAAAGTTTGGTTGAGTGTGAGGGGCTGTGCAGGAGTGATGGTGTCAACAGCTATGGTGAATGTTGAAATGAGAATCTGGGAAATTAGGAAGTACCAAAACAGGAAGCTACCGGATTCCATGGTGGCCCTTATTAAAGAATGTCGTCCGCTGTGCCACTTTCCGGCCACCTGCAACTCTGTTTGGCTACCAGAGGAGTTTGGATAGAGGAAAGAAAGAAACATGGCTCAAACTCTCCTAGATTAACAGATTTACTGTACTACTTATGACTAGTAGCTAGTATTAAAACTAGAATCAAGAATTTGACTTTCTTGCTCAATTACCTGGTCAATTCCATCCAGATTTTGATCTGCTTCTGCAGCCAAGTTTGAAAAAGATGGCTTCTGCTGTTTCCTTTATAAATTTAGTGGCATTGCACACTATTCATTTGACTGTGAATCCGACAAAACATTCCTATGCACATTATTTCACCAATTGCATGCCAAGATTTCTTTGACGAAAGACCAGCCTAGGTCAAGGTCCTACCATGTTTTTTTAACTGGGGAATGTCTACATCTGAACAAAAAAAACTACAAATGATCCATCTGGTGACCAAGCTAATTAATCTTCAAAGGAAATATGGCAGTACCTCATCAAGAAAATGACAGATTTTCATTTTAGTAGCATCATGAAGGTTCTATGTTGTACCTTGATCCCACTGTTCCCATGCCTACAACAAGAGAAAATTTTAAGAAAACTTGATACATTGTTTTATGGGCAGTAAGGAGTGAGATGTTAACTTACATAATCTTTAATGCCAAAGTGGTCATCTGTCTGAAAGCTTGAATTCCTCAAGCAATCTCTTCGATAATCTGGAAACATTTTCCCCAGTTTAGCCGGGCTCGCTTTGTAGGATCTGCCATGAGTAAGTTCACCATCAATAAGAAACAACTTTTCACTTGATTCACAAAAGAAAATTGATTTTACTAACTAAACTTACCAAACATAAAAGTGTCTAAACTCTTGATCAGCATCTTTTCACCTCCTTCAATGCAACATCCCAACAGTCTAACAAGATTTCTGTGTTGTAATTTGGCAATCACGGTGACTTCAATTTTTAACTCCACCACACCTTGTCTGGACATTTTTGAAAGCCTTTTTACAGCAATTTCTTGGCCACAAGGTAGTTCTCCCTAAACACACACATATATATATATATTAGAAAGTAGTCAGTAATTTATACTGTAATTTGATCAGATCTATCAGCCAAATATGCCTCGCAAAAAGCCATATATACTTCAATTTCAAACTCTTTAGATATGTATCACATGCATGATATAGATGAATGAATTGGTTGACATGCTTCAATTTGATCAAGGCATTAAGAGCACTCTTTTCATTCATCTTGCTCAATCTGAATTAAGTTCACTCATCCAGAAAGAGCAAGGCAAATCAAAACAAAGTTCTCCCTGCCTTAACTAAATTGATGCATCTGAACCAATTAATTTCCCTATATCATGGAAGAAAATTTCATCAGAGGCATATGCATAATGCATCACAACTATTTCACCAATTCTAATCACTAAGCACAAATCCATCTATACAGCTATAAATCTCTGGAGTTAAACTATCACATCGTGCGAAAGCTTGTATTCCTTCGCCCGCTAACGATCTCCCAGTAGCAAGACACCGAAGCTGTAGACATCTGATTTGACTGAAAATAGGCCTTCCATTGCATACTCGGGAGCCATATAACCACTAAATAAATAAAGAACAAAAAAAATAAGTAAATTGATAAATAATACAAGGGATGGAGGTGGAGAAACAAATTAAATACTCACTATGTGCCTACAACCCTGTTTGTATTTGCTTCGTTTTGGTTCCCTCCAAATATTCTAGCCATACCGAAGTCTGAAATCTTGGGGTTCATCTCGCCGTCTAGCAAAATGTTGCTAGCTTTCAAGTCTCTATGAATTATCCTGAGTCTGGAATCGCGGTGGAGGTAAAGCAATCCCCAGGCAATCTCTTTTATGATATGAAAGCGTTTTCTCCAGTTTAGCTCGCCTCGCTTTGCAGGATCAATCAATACCAAGAGTGCTCTCTCCAACTATCAATATGCCCCTCCTAGGCATGACTATTATTTCTTTCACAGAATCTGAACTATGTTGACACAAAGCTAGTATAATGTTCATCTTCCCATAATCACCTCTAGAACCAGTCCCATATTTTTCCTTTTTCAAATTCAGAATAATCACTCCCACATCTTCAGTGACACTTTCAAGGTTGCTTTTGGGCTTGGCAAGTTCCTGTACAGTTCCACCTGGATCAAAAAATAATTCACTTCACCATGGCATTTTAGAATTGCCATAGAAGACATCCTTCTCAACGATTTCTTCAAACACCTTCCTAGACAAGCCTATCTTGCTACACTTTGCATAAGCATCAATTAGTGTATTCTGGGACCCAAATCTAGTAAGGAACAAAGCATCCATTCTAGAAGTGAAACCTCTTGCAACCCAAAAAACAAGCTTTGCAGAACCAGGCACTTTGAGAAAAGTGAGTGGCACAGCAAATCGGGCACTGAAATCGGCTGTAAAATCAACAGGACCAAAATCCAACATTTGACCAGCGATGCAGTTGGCTACCCTTCGGCTGTCCTCTAGATTGATCTGTGCTTTGCATGCCCCTTCAATGATCTGAAACAACTTGTACATGCAGGCTTTAGAACCACCAGAGAAAGCTGCAAGCACTACTGGACATGGCCTACATTTTAGAATTTCTGTGTCTGCAAGCAGAAGAGGAAAGTTCCTACTCTTGGGAGTGCTGGTGTCAGCCTCAAATGAGACAGGCTCAACCCACACTGGGGTATTACATTCTGCTGCAAGCTGACATAATAATTGCAGAGCTTCATCGGTTCTCTCTTCTGTCAGATTCTTAATGTCCACCTGAAAATTTCTGCCAGACACATAAAATGTTCTACAACCAGAGAAGTAATTTGTAGGCTGATCTGCATCAGCTGTGGCAAACATAATGATAAGCCTTAAGTCATGCCTCTGATGAAGCAAATTCCTTAGCAATGCTAAAAGAAGATCTGTGTTTAAGCTTCTTTCATGTGCTTCATAAGGGTTATCAAACAATCTTGAACCCAAATTAGTAAAAACCAGACAAACCTCTTCAAGATTCATGACCGGAATGTCATAGGGACCATATCCAACTTCACATTGCACATTATGATTGGTCTGAGCATTCAAGGAAAACTCAACTCTAATACCTCCTAGATCAAAATTGACATTACTGCCAACTCCTTTAATTTCACCATTCTTACCTAGAGGATTTAAAGTCCCAAATCCAAGTGGAGAACACTCAATCAATGTAAGCCATTCCTCTCGTTTCAAAAACAATTAATCAAACACAATTGAGAAATGTGAGTTTTTCATTATTCCATCAGACAATTCATCAGAATTATTTAAGCCATCATCTTTCATCCTTATCACTTTCATCATCTATCCTATTAACATGGGCTGATACTTCTTCATTTTTAGCAGTAAATTCAACATCAATTCCTTCCTTAACATCACTAAGTTCCTCCAAATCATCAAGAGGTGGTGAACTATCATCAAGAATGCCATTATCAACTAAGCAAGGAGTAGCATTTTCAATTACCTCAACCTCTAGGTCTGAGTTCCCAACTTCTTCAGCCGGAATCGGAGGGGCTGAGATGTCGTTTTTGTTGGCTTCAAATCGCACCCGTTGAGGAGAAAGCTGACCTTGCTGGGGAGCTATTGAAGGTGTCCGGATTGTGGCGTCTCTCTGTACGGAATTCTTCACCTGGAGAGCAGATCTATCAAGTCCAAAGCTTCCAGCAGCTCGTCTCTGAATCTGAGCATATTATCACTGAGATTGGACAGTTGAACACAGGGGTCATTTACTTCATTTTTCTGTTTTTCCATTTTCAATTTTTGATTTCTCTATTTTTTCAGTTTTTTTTCCCATTTCTCCAATTTTTCATTTTTTCATTCCTCTAAATTTTTATTTCTCTAATTTTTTGATTTTATTAAACACACTCATCCTATATAGCATTTGTACATTTCTTCTACAACAACAACAACAACAATAATAATAATAATAATAATAAATAGTAATAGTAATAATAATAAAAATTTAACAATAATAATGATAATAATAATAATAATAGCATTTGTACATTTTTACAACAACAACAACCATAATAATAATAATAATAATAATAATAATAATAATAATTATTATTATTATTATTATTATTATTATTATTATTATTACTATTATTATTATTATTATTATAATAATAATTAATAATAATAATAACAATAAATAATAGTAATAATAATAAGAATTTAACAATAATAATAATAATAATAATAATAATTTAATACTAATAATAATAATATAATAATAATAATAATAATTTAATAATAATAATAATAATAATCGTAATAATAATAAAAAATTTAATAATAACAATAATAATTTAATAATAATAATAATAATAATAATAATAATAATGAATTTGAAGAAGAAAAATAATAGAATATGATGAAGAGAAGAAGCGTATGAAAGAAAAAGCATCCAAAGATGAAGTAATGGCAACAGTAGGATTCAAACTTGGGACGGCTATGTGTGTAGGTACTATTCATTTGTGTATTACTATTTCTCCATTTGGAAATATTGATTTTTCCTTTCTCCAAATTTCTTAAGAAAAGTGGAGAAAGGAGATAAAAATAAGATTTGGAAAAAGAAATTTAGTAAACAATTTTTCCATTTTTCATTTTTTTACCTCTCTAATTCTCTCTTTTTTTTAGAAAATTCTTCATTTCTCCAATTGTGTATTTAGTTTGCGGCTCGTCTCCATCGTCTGAATTTCCACCTTGTCCAGCCGGCTTCAATGGTGAATGGGGTAGGGTTTTGAGTTCGGGCTCTGATACCAATTGCAATGAACCTAAAAAATTGAGCACTAAAAGAAGGGAAAAAGAAAGCAGAACAGGATTGCAAGGGAGAAGGAGGAGAAGGTAGAGATTGCAGAAGGGAGAGAAGAAGTTCTGAGAGGGTAGGGAAAGAGAGAGAATTGAGAGAAAGAAATACAATTGATTAATCCAAGTATGAACCTTCCATACAATCTACTGCCTATATATAGAAGATAGCTAATAACAAATTATTTTTTATCTAAAATATCGAGTAAAACAGCACCATTTATCGCCTTGCTGACGTAACAACGGTTATTGAGTGCTCGGGGGCGTTACAGTATACCAAGAACAAGTCTATTCCAATTTCCAAGGGCAGCTTCTCCATCATCGTTTTTTCTCCATTCCCATCCCGTATCACGATCTTCATAGATGAGGTAGGATCAATCCCAGGGAGAATCCCCATTTGAATTGAAGAGTTGCTGGAATTAGAATCCCCATTTAATCGTGTTTTGCACGAGAATGGATGTGTAATAAACCAGAAAACAAAAGCAGGAAGAAGAAGAAGATGGAACCAAACGACACCGTTTAGTATATTAGGTAGTAAGTACCACTCCATTGCACTGCAAAATATGGTACAACTCAAAAATAAGGATGACAATGAATTTTATCACCACTTTGGAAACAATTCAAGTACATCAATAATACTGGTCATAAAATTGGGTGAGTCTCCCATTAGACTTTCTCACATATATTTATATATTATATGGATCGGGTCAATATAAAAATATAATATTTTTGTAAGGAAATATAATACTAATTAAAAATAAACTATTTGTTACTTATAAGAGAAAATGCAATACCCTTAGGAAAAAAAATGTAATACTTTAAAATTAAGATGCAATATTTAAGGGTTTGAACAATTACTTAGAGAAAAAGTGTAATACTAATCAAAATATATGAATTGTTTATTATTTATGAGAGGAAGTGTAATACTTATGATGAAAAATGTGATACTATTAATAAACAAGGTTGTAAAAATCCCGCCTAGGCACCGAGTAATCGGCGCCTAGGCGCTAGGCGCCCCTAGGCCGTGGCGATTTTCCCCCTAGGCTCCCGCCTAGGAAACCGGCCGCCTAGGCACCCGCCTAGCGTCTAATTCGGCCCCCTAGCGCCTAACTCGGCCGATTACACCGAGTTAACTCGTCAATTTCTGTCGAGTTAGCCGAATTAACCCGGCCGACTCGACCTTGCTAATTTTTTTCATTTATATATATATATATATATATATATATATATATATATATATATGTATATATATATATATATATATATATGTATGTATAATATGACATATATGCACCTACACACGTGCACTGTTTTTCTTTTTTTCAGTTAGCCGCCTAGGCGACCGCCTAGGCCGCTTAGGCCCCGCCTAGGTCGTCTAGGCGCTAGGCGCTGCGCTACTCTACCGCCCGACTAGCGCATAGCGCCTATTGCAACCATGTTAATAAATAATAATAATAAAACGTATAACTTTTACGGGGCGTTTGGTTGGAGGAAATGAATTGTAATTCCATGAGAGATGAATTATATAGGAATAAAGTGAGAATTTAATTTGTATGAATAGAATTAATAAAATTCCAATTTCAATATTTAATATACATGAGAATTGAGAGGGAATAGTGAAAATCACAGATGATGATCCTTGAGATTTATTCATAAAATTTGAGTAATAGTGAAGATCACAAACATAGTACTCAATCACCTTGTATGTGTATACTAAATATCTAAATTATATTCAGGTATTATATAAAAATTGTATGATTTATATATATGTACATAAAACATGACTACATATACAGTGAGATTTGAAGTATAATTCAATTGTAAGTACAACTATTTCCTTCAGGAAAAAAAAAAAAAAAAAAGTTGATCGAGAAAAGAAATAAGAGCAACTATAACCAGCTTGGTTGGTATGGGTAGCAGTGCACTCTTGTCCCTTAACATCATAACATGGTACGGGCTTAAATGTGTCTCCCCTCGTGATCTGACCAAAAAAATTAATAATAATAAGAGCAACTATATATATACTCCGTATATACCAAGTAAGTAGAGTAGAAAATATTATTTACCAACTATTACACTCATAGTAATGCTATTGGAGCTTGGAAGGTCGTTGTTCTGGTTCCATGAATCAAACATTATCCACTGATCTTCCAATGGAAGCGGTATAGGTAGGCAGTTTTGGCACCGGCAACGTTACATTATCCGTCTCCAAAACCAACACAACTGCCGACATGTTTGGCCGGTGAACTGTCAAGTCTTGCACGCAAAGCAGCACTATCTGTATGCATCTCAACACTTCTTGCGGTACACATGAACTGAAAATGGAAGGGTCGAATAGGTTCATTGGTTTGCCTTCATCCCATTGTTCTCATGCCTACAATTTATTATAATTTGAGAAGATTAGTATGTAAAACCATAGTGTTTGCATTGTGAAAACATATCAAACTTGAAATAATGTTTTAACTTATATATTCTATAATGCTTAAGTGGTCGCCTGTCCGAAAGGTTGTATTCCTTCGCCCGCTAACGATCTCCAGTAGCAAGACACCGAAGCTGTAGACATCTGATTTGACTGAAAATAGGCCTTCATTGCATACTCGGGAGCAATGACAAACCTTCAAGCTGAGGTGAGGCAGTGGATGACCATGATGATGGCGCAAGGAGGAGTGAACCGGCCACCTACGGCAATCACGCACTCTCTAGCTCTAACCAGACCTCCACAATCGGAAGGGGGAAGTGCTTCGGTGAATCACGCTGCGGGAGGTAATCAATCTATACCTACGTATGTTGAAGTAGTTGCTGAAACACATATTGTGAATCCACATCAACATAGAAATGTGAACCGTAGACTTGAGAACTATTTGCCGACTCCCAAGCCGAGGATAGATTTCCCTGATTTTGATGGAACCAATCCAAGAGGATGGGTTAGGAGATGTAACAAATTTTTCCTTATGGTGTTCCTGAAGAATTGAAAATGGAATATGTATCATCAGAGGCATATGCATAATGCATCACAGGTATTTCACCAATTCTAATCACTAAGCACAAATCCATCTATACAGCTATAAATCTCTGGAGTTAAACTATCACATCGTGCAAATTAACAATACTAATTGTAAACCCCACAAGCATTAGTTGCCTACTTTTGTTTATTGCTCCATTCCTTGAGCTTTTGACCCACCTCTATTACAACGCATTCCTTACCATTAACAGTTAAACCTTATTAAATCAAAAGTATTAGACTCAGCATATTTAAAGTACACGCCATCAATCTGAAAGAGCAAAATGGAAATGCAGACAAAATAGCATAACAAACACCCCTACCCTAACAAGCCGTGTCCTTTCTCAGATCACCATCATCACAATTCACATGGGAGCTTTAGCTAAAAGGCGCAGAGACGGAAGAAGAACAGACAAGTAATATACAAAATTGGAGACATTAGTATAGTAGAAATTGTATGATTTATATATATATATATATATATATATATATATATATAATGACTATATATACTGTGGGATTTGAAGTATAATTCGATTATAAGTACAATTATATCCCTTCCAAAAAAAAATTGATAAGGGGAAAGAAATAAGAGCAACTATATGTACCAAGTACACTACAAAATTAAATATTATCTACCAACTATTACACTCATAGTAATGCTATTGGAGCTTGGAAGTTCGTTGTTCTGGTTCCATGAATCAACATCAACTGATCTTCTCATGGAAGCGGTATAGGTAGGCGGTCTTGGCACCGGCAACGTTACATTATCCGTCTCTAGAAACAACACAACCGCCGACATGTTTGGCCTGTGAACTGCCAAGTCTTGCACGCAAAGCAGCCCTAACTGTATGCATCTCAACACTTCTTGCGGTACACATGAACTGAAAATGGAAGGGTCCAATAGGTTCATTGGTTTGCCTTCATCCCATTGTTCCCATGCCTACAATTTATTATAATTTGAGAAGATTAGTATGGAAAACCATATATAGTGTTTGTGAAAACATATCAAACTTGAAATGTTTTAACTTACATATTCTATAATGCCTGAGTGGTCGTCTGTGCGAAAGCTTGTATTCCTTCGCCCGCTAACGATCTCCAGTAGCAAGACACCGAAGCTGTAGACATCTGATTTGACTGAAAATAGTCCTTCCATTGCATATTCGGGAGCCATATAACCACTAAATAAAGAACAAATGAAAACAAATAAGTAAATTGATAATGGAGTGTGTTTGATAAATAATACAAGGGATGGAGGTGGAGAAACAAATTAAATACTCACTATGTACCAACAACCCTGTTTGTATTTGCTTCGTTTTGGTTCCCTCCAAATATTCTAGCCATGCCGAAGTCTGAAATCTTGGGGTTCATCTCGCCGTCTAGCAAAATGTTGCTAGCTTTCAAGTCTCTATGAATTATCCTGAGTCTGGAATCGCGGTGGAGGTAAAGCAGCCCCCGGGCAATCTCTTCTATGATATGAAAGCGTTTTCTCCAGTTTAGCTCGCTTCGCTTTGCAGGATCTGTCATAAGCTCATCACCATTAGAAACAACTTCAATTTTCACTTGATTCACAAAAGAAATTTGGTTTCACTACTAGTGGATTGGAGTGAAACAGTACACTTGAAACTAAACTTACCAAACACAAAAGAGTCTAAGCTCTTGTTTGGCATGTACTCATAAAGCAACATTTTTTCATCTCCTTCAATGCAGCACCCCAATAGTCTAACAAGATTTCTGTGTTGTAATTTCGCGATCACTGTGAGTTCATTAGTAAACTCCTGCACACCTTGTCCAGACCTTCTTGAAAGTCTTTTTACTGCTATTTCTTGACCACATGGTAGGACTCCCTAAACATATATACGTATATATATTATAAAGTTCTCAGATCAGTAACTCATACTACAATAATTCATATCAATTAAGTAGGCATTATGAGGTAGAATTTAATTTGTACCTTATAAACGTGGCCAAATCCTCCTTGTCCGAGCTTGTTTGCGAGTGAAAAGCTATCAGTAGCTGCTGCAATGCTGCTGAAGCTGAAGAACACCAGATCTGATGAAGCTCCTGCCTTCCCTTCCACGGTAAGGTCACACTGGGCTGAAAAATCTGAAGAGAATTCCCCACTGGTAGGTAGCTCTGTCCGGGGAATTTCATCTCTTTTCTTGGCTGCAAAAATGAAAAGTTCGGGAGAACACATAATTTAACCACAATATTACAAGAAATGGAAAATCTCAATCTTGATGTTTCAAAATTAGCTTAATTACCTCGGATTCTTGCTCTGCGGCTACATAGTAGCCAAATGGATACAATAACAAGGACTGCAACTGCTGCCACAACAGATACTGCAACAATAATTGTGGTTTTGCTGCTCTTATTATCTGTTCAAAACAAGTTTCATTTGATGGTTAGTTTAGACATCAAAACTTGGTTGAAATTAAATTGGAAGGCTAAAGTTTAATTAGAATTTACCTAATTCGGAAGAATGAAGACGAACGAAAAGAGTACTCCCACTGCCTTCATCTAATTGCATCATATCAACCAATTCATTCCTCCATAACATGCAGGAGATCCCACCAGGAACAGGCGGGGCGTATGCATTGCAAGAGCAGTCCTCTTCACACTTCTTTTTACAATCCTCTGGACTTCTCATGTTTCTATCAATATCAGCGAAATCAGGCAATTTGATGTGTTTAACCTCACGGAACCCATCTTTTTCAGCACCACCACCCTCTGTGTTGTTCTTCTGGCACTGCAATGGAGTCCTCCTGGTACACCCTCCTGTCCAGTTTCTCGCGTTCCATTGGTTCCAATCACTCGGGTTGAATCCAACTATGCAGACGCAATTTATACCATTGCTTGATGAATTATCACATCTTGCAAATTGACCGCAATGATTGTAAACCCCACACTGATCTGCAGGCTGTTCTTGGATCTTGATCCATTGCTTCCTGCTTTCGTTCCACCTTTGTTGCACTTCTTTCCCATTCCAATCAACTTTGAACATTATTAAATCCGATGAACTGGACTTGTATTCTAAGTACAGGTTATCATTTTCAGTGATCAAATCAAAGCCATATACAAAATCTGTCCTCATTGGTACACCTAAGAACACACGCCCATCCCAATGGCCACTTCTCCAATACCGCTTTTCCCCTTCCCATATCACGATCTGGGGCGATGCTCTCGGGTCTATTCCCATGGAGAACCTCCCCGGAGAAGGGTTGCCGGAATTAGTCCAAGAAGTGAAGAGCTTGCTTTCTCCGGCAGAGAGATCAACCCTCATGCCCGGCAAGAATGTGTCTGTGGGTTGGTGGAAACTTTGCCATATAGTATTATTAGGCCTCCACCCATCGGTTTTGAGAATAATAAGCTCACTGGTGTTCCTTAACACCATGGTTGCATTGCTTGAAGTAACAGAGCTGTTTGTGTTCCAGATTGACACATTTTTGCCATCTAAAACCACAAAAGTTCCATTTCCTGTTATCCCAAAGGCTCCATTTTTATCCAAAATGGGCCTCTCCCTATTAGCAACCCAAACTACTGATTGTGGAATAATTTCATTATACCATATTCCTACGTACCTGTTACTTGTTCCCTCGGGACTAAAGAATCCCAACACAAATTTTTCATTTGCAGAAACTATGTTCTCTCCGTCGTCTTTGATCCACTGGCCTTGTTGAATCTTGTCGGCGGCAAAACATACTGATAAAAAACACAGAACACCCAAGAACAACCCAAGGAAACTGATTCTCTCCGCCATGATTGAAAGCTCAAGAAACGTGGGGGAAATTCAAGAATGGAAGATTCTCATGAAGCTTAGAGATGAGAATGAAAAGGTTTGGAATAATACTACAGAAAAGGGAGAGTTTTGTATGAATTTTAACACACACAGCAGAAAAAGTTTGACCTGAACTCCGGTGTTGAAGATTCGTCGTTGACCAGCCAACCTTTTAGGATTTTCTTTAAAAAAAGTGACGCAGGTTGTTCGGTAGTCATCTTCCACGATTTGAATAGCTGCTTCAGGACAAAAGGATCAAACAGTTTTTTTCCACCAAAAATAGCAGACGCATTTTCTTCTTTTCATTTTTTGGAATGAATAAAAATGAATTTCACAATTTTCTGGTTTTTGAAATTTATCAATATTTATCATTGCTTTTCGTCTTAAAATTGTTGAAATTTTAGTGTGAACGTTTTACACTACCGCGTTCTCCATTATTGCTGGATTCTTATTCATGAGAAGGGTCGGGTAGAATCAACATACAAAAGTTATAGAGTTAATACCCAAAATGGTCCCTCGACTATGTCATAATTACTAATTTGGTCCTCAACTACCATTCTTACCCAATTAAGTCCTCAACTATGTAACTTTTACTCAATTAAGTCCTCAACTATACAATTCTTATCCAATTTAGTCCTCAACTATACAATTCTTACCCAATTTAGTCCTCTGTATTAATTTGACTGTTTGTTGACTGTCAAAAGTCGGGATAAAATTATAATTTTACAAGATTTCTCCTTCCTCTCCATTTAGCAACGCCAAACCATGCAACAATACACTCCGATCAGATTTCGATCGTCAAAAAATCGTTAAAAATCAAATTCATGGGCTATCCGATGCATAACCACTACTTCAATACTGACAGGTTTAGAACCCAACCGGAGCTTATTGCTACATGGTTTGGCGCTGCTAGATGAGGAGGAAGGAGAAAACTTGTAAAATTACAACTTTATTTCAACTTTTGACAGTCAACAAACAGTCAAATTGACAAAGGACTAAATTGGGTAAAAATTGTATAGTTGAGGACTTAATTGGGTAAGAATGATAGTCGAGGACCAAATTGGTAATTACGACATAGTCGAGGGACTATTTTGGGTATTAACTCAAAGTTATATTTATATACTTAAATGCATTACCGATTTCTTTTATTTGTGTGGTCTCGTTCTTATAAATAAATGAGATATTACCAAAAGTATAAACTCAATCTTTAAAACTAATAAAACTAATACGGTAAAATATATGATTTTTATTTTAAATACGGTGTAACACTAGTTGAATACAAAAATCACAGTTTTTACCGTAATATATATAATTTTTATTTCAAATAAGTATAGGTAGTGTAAATATTAGACCCTCTAAAAATTGAGGTCTTCTGCTATTGTAGATTAAAATTCGATCATATTCAAATATAATTCTAATCACAAATGTTAATATGTGGAGTAATATATAGATTTTAATTGGAGAGCTTAAAAATTTTCTAAACAAGTCGTTGAGACGTCAAAAGGGGAATCTGGAAGGTATTATGGTAATAAGAGGTGTGAAAAACGTTTAAAATTGTTTGTTATTGGAAATAAAATATTATATATGGAAGTTGGCCATAGAAAATTATATTAGTTCTTGTCGCCTAACAACTTATCCTTATGTGAGAATTGAGATAAGACCAATAATCCCTATTGGCTATTGGTAATAAAATAAAATAATTAGAATTTGATTAATTAAATTCATTCACTGATCTCTTTGTACCAACTAAATAAATAATAATAATAATAATAAATTAATTAAAATAACAGTGGTTGGACAAAGACACAGAGGGAATAATCTGACTTGTATAGGACAACTCCAAAGCCTTCCACACATATCAGAAACTCCTTCATCAGATTTTGTTGGATGACCAAAAGATTCCTTAGATTTCTAGTCTTATTATATTTGTGCAATATAACATTTAGTCTTTGTAAAATATTATATATATTTATAATAACAAAAAAAAAATCACTTTGAAGACTTTTTAATCACGTACACAATTACTAAAACTTAAAAATTAAATTAATTGGTAACATTTTCAATTCCTTTTAAATACCCACATTACAAATTAACAATACTTGTATGCATAGAACACTACACATGATGATGATAATGATGATATATAAGATTGAATATTACAAAATAATGAGAAGAATCAACGCACGTGTATTGAATTGATTACAAGTCCTAAACAAGGTTTTAATTTAAATAAACCAATAAGTTGGCAACTTGTAAAATATATGATTTATTTTAACAAAAAAAAAAAACCTACATTGGTAATTAAACTGCACATTTATATTTTATATATATGTGTGTGTTAATACCGCCTCTACCTCGAATTCATAACCTCCTACTTAGAAAAGTCATTCCATGTCGTTTGAGCACAAGATCTTTCGCTGTCTACTAAGTATATATATATATATATATATATATATATATATATATATATATATATATATATATATATATATATATATAATCGCACTCAGGTGCGAATGCTTCGCCCAGGCGCGAAATAGGAATGAATTCTGTTCGTCCACGTGTCCAGATCTAATGGATGAGAAACACTGATTTTAAAAAAAAAAAAACGCGGTGGCATTTTCGTAAATAATTGAACATCAAAGTGCAAGTAAAATGATTACAAGTGCATGTAAAATGTACTATAGGTGCAAATAAAAATTTACACTGAGCATCAATACTTAGTTGCACCTATAGTTCTAAGTAGTTGCACCTATAGTTCTAAGTAGTTGCACACATAGTTATAAGTAGTTGCACCTAGGTGTATGAATGTTTGCGAGTGGTTTTCAGGGGTATTACTACCCGCTGAACTCAGATCAATGAATGTTAACAAGGCAAAATTACATGCACTTATAGGTGAAAGTAGGTGCACCTATATTTATAAGTAGTTGCACCTATAGTTATAAATAGTTGCATATGTAGTGATAAGCACACCCAAGTGCATGAATGTTTGCGGAAAGTGAATGCTAACAAGGCAAAATTACATGCATGCACTTATAGGTGAAAGTAGGTGCACCTATAGTTATAAGTAGTTGCACCTATAGTTATAAATAGTTGCACATATAATTATAAACACACCCAGGTGCATGAATGTTTGCGGAAAGTAAATGCAAACAAGGCAAAATTACATGCACTTATAGGTGAAAGTAGGTGCACTTGTAAGTGATTTTACTTGCACTTCGATGTTCAATTATTTACGAAAATGCCACCGCGTTTTTTTTTTAAGTTATTAGATCTGGACACGTGTCGCGCGCTGATTCGTTCGCATTTTCCTCCTGAGCACTTTATTCGCACCTGAGTGCATCCCTATATATATATATATATATATATATATATATATATATATATATATATATATATATATATATAAAGGTCATGACTTAATGTGCGGCCGCACCATTAGATATGTAAAAATGCACCAATAGTGTTAGAAAACGTACAACAATGAAATGCACCACACACCCAAAAAAATGTACCATACCTCCCCACACTTAATTGTGTATTTCTGAACACTGTATTGTGTGTTTATGCATACCTAATGGTGCGTTTTATGCTGATGTGTACCTAATGGTGCGTTTTTTGTGCATTGGTGCATTTTTTGTTGTGCATTTACTAACACAATTGGTACGTATTTACATATACTTAATGATGCAACTGCATTGACCGCACGTTAAGGACTGACCGCATTTGAACTTGGCCCTAGAGAGAGACACACGCCTTATTTATTTATTTTTATGCATGTTTGGAGTACGCTAAGCATGGGGTGAAGGGATGTGCCAACAACCAATTAATTAATATGCAAATATTGGTGTTGTAAATTTGTTTTTGTATAACACTTGACATCCCATACCATTTAGAGAAAAGGGTCAAATAACCCCCTAAACTTTACTCTAAAGGTCAATTAACCCCCTAAACTTAAAAAAAGTTCAATTAAACACTCAAACATGTTAAATTGGGTCAATGAAGCCCAAAAACCAGAAAAATGACCTGTTATTACAGGTCATTTCAATTCCGGCGACGGATTCCGACCAACAGTGACGTATTCCGGCGACCGACAAGATTTTCCGGCGACCAGATCTGGTTCTGCATTAATTTCAACAAAATTAATAACCAAAAACATGATGTTTCGAACTCGATCTCAGTATATATGAATATATGCATTCACTTGTTAGTGTAGATATAATAAGCTTAGAAGATTATTGTTTTGTCTCACTTGAACTCTTTCTTCCCTACTGGAAGCCTGCGGGGTTTTGTTTGCAGCAGCAATGAGATCTTGTCTTCTTAATTCTGCATTTTTTATTTCTTCAAACAGATTCTTCTCCTCAGCTCGTTTATTGCTCCCATGCTGCAACTTGCTATGCAGCTTCCGAATCTTGATATATATATATATATATATATATACCAATTAATAAAATTTGCATTTATCATGTGATTCATATATAATACAAAGGTCTCGAGATTAATTCACATACAAAGCCATCAAGCTCGTTAACTGAGGAGCATGTCTCTGCATCTTTCAGCTGTCGAGGATTTTCCGACCCTGAAATTTTCCACTGGAGAAGGCGGCCGTCCGGTCGTCTTCTCCAGTGGAAGACCACCGGACGGCCGGAAAATATTGCCGGTCACCGGAAAATCTTGCAGGTCGCCGGAATACGTCACTGGTGGCCGGAATCCGTCGCCGGAATTAAAATGACCTGTAATAACAGGTCATTTACCGGTTTTTGGGTTTCATTGACCCTATTTATCATGTTTGAGTGTTTAATTGAACTTTGTTTAAGTTTAAGGGGTTAATTGACATTTAGGGTAAAGTTTAGGGGGTTATTTGACCCTTTTCTCTACCATTTAAAATTAATGATAAGGATTTGATTCAAGTTGCACCCGTAAATTTAAATGGATGCTTATTATGATTTTCAAGTAAAACCTATTGTGAAACACTTTAACATGGCACGTATCTTACTTTTATATGTATATATGCTTTTTTAATACTCTCATTAAAGATTTTGAATATTTCTCAAATATAATAAATTTTAGCACGTATTTATTATTATAGTAAAATTTTATATGAAAAAACTTTCTCTATATATAAGCATAACAATTTTATTGAATATTACTAACTTTGTTAGAACGTAATATAATATCTATTTATCTATATTGAAACACAAAGAGTCAATATTTGTCTTCACTAGAATTAAATCCATGAGCTCCCGTTTAGGAGTGTCACTTCATGCCACTAATCACAAGGTGATTGGATATAGGCATAATTATTTTGTGTGTGTGAGTAGGCCGGGTCTCCTATATGTGTATTTATGGTACACAACATGGGTTTTCGAGATCAAGTCATGCATTGATGTAACTCCGCAAATTATGCTGTGCAACCGAATGCACCTTGCAAGGTGCATACGGTTGCAAAACGGCGCCGTTTTGGTTAAAAAAACGCGTGTCCCACTTAAAGAAGAAATCAGGTTCGATTTCCGGCAATAGCATTTTTATATATCCAGAAATTCATAACTATATAACCACAATTTCATAACTATATATCCACAATTTCATAACTATATATCCACACTGAATGAATGAAGTAAAAATCCACAATGAATGAATGAATGAAGTAAAAATCCATAATGAATGAATGAATGAAGTAAAAATCCACAATGAATGAACTAAATATCCAAAATATATGATTGAATAAATATCCACAATGAATGAACTAAATATCCATAAATTCATAACTATATAACCACAATTTCATAACTATATATCCACAATTTCATAACTATATATCCACAGTGAATGAATGAAGTAAAAATCCACAATGAATGAATGAATGAAGTAAAAATCCACAATGAATGAATGAATGAAGTAAAAATCCACAATGAATGAACTAAATATACACAATATATGATTGAACTAAATATCCACAATGAATGAACTAAATATCCATAAATTCATAACTATATAACCACAATTTCATAACTATATATCCACAATTTCATAACTATATATCCACAATAATGCTATTGCTGAGACTCGAACCTGATTTTTTTTTTTAAAGTGGGACGCGCGTTTTTAATCAAAACGACGTCGTTTTGAACCGTATGCACCATGCGCATGGTACATTCGGTTGCACAGCATAACTATTGATGTAACTCTACGTGGGCTAGTTGTTACCCTTCGTTATCAATTAATTGAATTTATATATAAATGCATATTTCCATTTTTGAAACTATGAAGTGTTTTTGTTTATATATATATATATATATATATATATATATATATATATATATATATATATGGTTGCGCTCTATGAGAATCACCCTTAATGTGAGAATATAAGGATTAATTTAGATCATTAAATTAGATTGATGCACGACTGAGATTAAAAGAAATAAATAACACAGATTAAGAAATAAATCTTTTTAAAATATTATAAAATATACAAGTAGGGGTAAATTAGTCTTATTAGAAGCTGTGTATTTCAGTACAGAATGTCACGCATTCCTATATCGAATGTCGTGCATCGATAATTCTCTGATTGTGCATTCAAAAACCGTCAAAAAATCCTACGATGTTATCCCAATGTCATATGATGCACCACACTAATTGCACTAATGCATTGAACTTTAATATATGGTTTGGATTGCAATTTCGTTTAATTTAAATGTTGAAAATTCAATACAATGAATTTGATTAACGTTACGTTGTCTCTGTACATGTACCAGGACTTAATCAACCATAAGTTTGACTCAATTGCAAGAATTAAGTCTAAGGGTGTGTTTGGTTGGTGGGTTTTGCCCATAGGAATGGGTATGAAAGTGATTGTTGTTGTTTGGTTGATAGGTTTTTAGAACACTACTATGAGTTTCGAATACCTCATCAATTGAAAAACTCATACCCAAATACAATAAGGGTTTCATTCCTTTATTCATTCTCAAGCACTATTATTAGTAACTATTCTCATTCCACCCTACTACCAAACATGTTAACTATTTTTACCAAAACCCATTACCATTACCAAGTATTTGATATCCATTCCGATTCCGATTCCGATTCCTATGTGCAAACCAAACACACCATAAGTTTAAACAAAACACAAACCAATTAAATTCTTTCTTTAAAGGCAATAACCTTGTGATCTAGTGGCATCAAGTTGCTTCTTCATATGAGAGATTGTGTATTTGAATCTCAGTGGATGCGATATGAACATATACTGCATTTTAATATAAGTAGGTTTCAATTCATATATATTGAATAATCATATGAAAATACATGCATTTTATTTGACATGACAAGACGAAGTAAAATATATATGCTACAAAAGATGATGATAAGCAAAAACTGTTTCATTATTATAATTTTTTTGTGTGATGAAAAAAATCCATAATTATTACTTAATAGTATGTGCTAGGTAAATCTTGCTCATGGTGGAAACTTTGCCATATAGTATTATTAGGCCTCCACCCATCGGTTTTGAGAATAATAAGCTCACTGGTGTCCCTTAACACCATAGTTGCATTGCTTGAAGTAACAGAGCTGTTTGTGCTCTAGACAGACACATTTTTGCCATCTAAAACCACAAAAGTTCCATTTCCGGTTATCCCAAAGGCTCTATTTTTATCCAAAATGGGCTTCTCCCTATTAGCTACCTAAATTACTGATTGTGGTATAATTTCATTATACCATATTCCTACGTACCTGTTACTTGTTCCCTCGGGACTAAAGATTCCGAACACAAATTTTTCATTCTCAGAAACTATGCTCTCCCTGTCGTCTTTGATCCACTGGCCTTGTTGTTGTTGTTATTATTGTTATTATTATTATTATTATTATTATTATTATTATTATTATTATTATTAATGACATTTTAATCTTTATTCATTGTTTCCATTTCAATCCCCAGTAATTCTATTCATGTATATCAAATAATAAAATTTAAAATTTTATTTTATTATCACCTTATACTTTTCACACGGAATTATAATTCCTTTCACTCCTAATTCCATCCTTCCCATCAATCATCTTATTAGAAAAAATAAATTTAATATATTAATTAAATGATATATTTCTAATTTTATTCATAAGCTAGTTTGATCTAAAATTTAAAGATCATTCCGGTCATGTCCTGTCCTGAAAACATGTGAAATAAGTAAATTGTAAGATGTGTCTCAACTAATCTCTGATCCAAAATAGTTGTACATCAATACCTATAAGGCTACAACAAAACAAAATTTATATTTATACGTTGATTCATTATAAAATATCAAACTGTCTCCCTTCGAAAAAAATATCAAACTTTCATCTTATTTATACTCATTAAAGCTTGTCAAGACCTTGTGGTCTAATAGCACCCGGGTTGGACTCTCATATGGGAGATTGTGAGTTTGAACTTAAGCGGAAACATTATTGACTTTTTGTGTTTCAATAGGTTAAGAAAATAGTTATGAACAGATACTACATTGTAATAGAGTCAATAGCATTAAAAAAAAAAAAATACTCATTAAAGCTTTATTAAATACTCGTAAAATACGCTACTATGTTATTAAATAATTTAACACCGACAACGATAGGTCATGGCTTATTCCTCTCATAATTCATTAATTTATCTTTGTTTTATAGCAAAACAAAATAATTAGTCCCTACTTTAAAAAAAGAAAATTGAATGACCCATGATAATTGAACATGTTAGATGAGGATTGGCAATTTATATCCTGGATTAGGATCCACATAACATTATGAAACTTGGATCGAAACGACGAAATACAGAATTCATATTCTTAAGATACAAAATTTCATAACACAAGACACATACACATATTATATATTTACTTATTTTTCAAATCTGATTTAGATATATAATTTGTGTTCATAGGCATAGAATTTAACAACACAAAACACATAAATTCATAACATGTGACACAATTACTAATTTGTTTTAGGTATAAAATTCATACTCATAATACACATACACATGCACCAGAGTCCATAGTGCATTGTGAACCATGGTATATGGTATATTTATATCATGGACCAGGGTCCGTATAGCATTATGAACCTTGGATCGAAACGACGAGGTACATAATTAATACTCATAAAGTACAGAATTTCATAACATAAGATACAAAAAATCACAATACACGACACATACACATGCTATATATTTACTTATTTTTCAAATATGATTTAGGTACATAATTTATGTTCATAGACACAGAGTTTCACAATACAAAACACAGTTATTAATTTGTTTCAAGTACAGAATTTATACTCTTAAGATACAAAATTTCATAACACAAGATGCAAAAACTTACAACATAAGACATATAAATTAACATGCATCAAGTTTACAGTGCATCGAGAACCCTGGTCCATGGTATAAGGATTGTAAGTTTCACTGTTAAACACTACTCAGTATTCAATCATTCATAAACCACACAAAGCAATAGAATTGAATCCCAACATATTTTACTTTGACTTATCAAAAGTTTTTGGAAGATATGAGACGAGCCCTATTATACAAAACGAGTATATGA